TGGTGCCTACTGGATATCGAATTTAGTTTTCTAAAACTATGTGGCTGTTTGAAGTCTTTAAACTGAAGTCCGTAAAGTGAAAATCCGTGTCCTATTTTGGGTCACATCGCTAACGACTATTTTTTTCCAGATAACTCCTATCAACAAAGTTCCCTAGTACTGATTTCTGCAGGATATCTAGAGTCATTTAAGATCCATATAATATATAAAAATCAAGTCTAGAAAAGTTCACTATTTCGAGATATAGATATTTGAATTTTACGAAATCGCATCGCTAACAAATGATTTTGCCCATATACACCCTATTATTATCAGCGCAATATTGCTATCTTGTTTTATTGTAAACTCATTATTGAATAAATTACTACAAGTTGGCATTGTTCAAACATTATTGCTTGTTTTTAAATAATAATAAGAATATTTATTCTACATTTCGATGAGTTTGGCAAATTACTTATGCCAATAAAATTATTAGAAAAGCGATTCACTTTTCATTAGTATTCTTGGTTGTACTATTTACAAGAGTTTCGATCAATTATCTCGCGATTACACCCACACCCTCAAGATATGCTCTTTGCATGTCATTTTTTGATCGTTTAATATGTTCTACTTTCACAAAACAAAAAATAAATAGAGTTCATCACTTAAAACTCCGATTGAATGACCTTTAAATGTCTGCTTGGCTTAACAAGATTTAATTATTTAAGTTTGATTTTCTACAAAAATATAGAATTTAAATACGCTTGGGAGAGAGAGAGAACGATATGCTATGTGTGTAATTCTTTCGATAGAATAATCTTCCAGTATAGAAAAAACTTGTTTTGAGGACTTTCCAAAAAAAAGAATGATCTATTCAAAGAATTTTGCTCGAAACTTTTGAAATTATTTCATATACTAGCTATACTCGAGAAAGACAGAGATTTCCTTTTATTCTTACTCTTTCTTTTCTAGGTAATATTCCTGCTAATGCTAAATGGGCACAGAACGGAGTGACTATTGCTGGAGGCCACGGGAGTGGGGATGCCACTGATCAACTCAACGAGCCTCATGGTCTCTTCGTTGATGATGATCAAACAGTGGTTATTGCTGAGTGGGCGAATCATCGTATCGTTCAATGGAAGAATAGCGATACAACGAATGGACAAGTTGTTGCTGGTGGTAATGACCAAGGAAATGGATTACATCAATTGAATCATCCAACAGACGTATTGATTGACAAAGAGGCGGATAGTCTCATTATTTGTGATTATGGGAATCGACGAGTTGTACGATGGTCTCGTCTTAGTAGTACAACAAAAGGTGAAATGCTCATCGACAACATTCAATGTTATGGAGTAGCAATGGATGAACAGAGATATCTTTACGTCTCTGACGCCGGAAAACATGAAGTAAGACGATATCAATTGGGTGAGAAGAAGAGCACTCTCGTAGCTGGTGGTAATGGACAAGGTGATGGTCTTAAGCAACTCAGCGTGCCGACATATCTCTTTGTCGATCGACAACAGAATGTCTACGTATCGGACAACAGCAATCATCGTGTAATGAAATGGAATAAAGGTGCAAAAGAAGGAATTGTGGTCGCTGGAGGACAAGGCGAAGGGAATGCTCTGACACAACTGTATCATCCTAATGGACTCTTCGTTGATACGTTGGGTACACTCTATGTATCAGAGTTCGGGAATGGTCGTGCAATGCGTTGGACTCAAGGAGACAAGAAACAAGGCACTGTAATTGTGGGTGGAAATGGTTCAGGGGCAGGAGCAAATCAGTTCAACTACTCCTATGGTTTGTCTTTCGATCGACAAGGTAATCTCTATGTCGTCGATATGGGTAATCATCGTGTTCAACGATTTTCTATCGAGTAAGGCTTGTGAATTGTTTTTTCTTTGTTCGTGTCTTTTTCTATACTTTAAAATAAATGAACAAAAAAGTTTTCTTTTGCCCTTTCGCTTCAAAGAAAAGAAAAAAGCTAAATATAAGATTACGTCATATGTTTCTTTTCTTCTTATTCTTTTATTTATTTGTTAAATGAAAAGAAATGAATTAAATAAAAGAGTTTGCGATTTTTTCGCAAAAAATATTAATTATTAAAGTGGAAAATAAACTGTCTTCTAAAATATTTATGATTGAAATGAAAAGAAAATTTGTTTTATTTTCACAAAATATTTATTATTGAAATGAAATTATTTATTAGTGGAAGGAAAAGAAACATGAAGAACAAGAATGAAAAATATACACATGTATATTTACATTTGTGTTCGTTTTGATTGAATTGAATTGTTGAATAGAACTAAAACATAAAAATAACAATTAATTTTATTTTTTTGGAATAAGATAATGAAGATAAGTGAAAGTAATTATATTTACTTTCCTGTTAAAGACATCGAGATGAACTAAAACGAAATAAGAAGAAATGAATTGATTGGAATGAAATTTTGTTTTTTTTGCTTACCAGTTAATAGTTGCTCGCTCGACCAAGAACTACCTTGGTGATGCCATAGAGAGTCAAGGCTCTTCACGTACAGACATAGATCTAACATGTATAAAACATACAACAGATAGATCTATATGCGGCCTGTACATGCTACGGGCACCAAGATGGGCTTGGCCAGTTTCACGCCGATGTATGGAAGGGCTTCGTAGGACATATTAAATATACAAAAGTATACATACTTCTTTTGTATTACTAAAATGAAAATAGAAAGACAATTATTAATATCATATAAAAAAATAATAAACAAATGGGGTAAAAAGCTGAGACAACGAAAAAAAATTTTAAAATTAAAACTATAATACTTACCTGTGATATTGAACAATGGTAAGTGTGCATACAAGCTAAAATAGTTAAAAAATAAAATATACATGTAATATAATAATGTAAGAACCCAGATCGATCATCCTGAGTCGTAAACGGCCGTATACCTATCACTCACGATGAAAAACGGCGACCGTATTTGGTAGGCGTTTACTGCTGTCATAAACGAAGTGTTACGATCAAATAGGGTCGTCGTAAATGAAGATCGTGAAAAATCTCCGTAAACGGACATCGTAACTAAACGCTAACTGTAAATGACTGTAGGATATCACAGTAAACGATTGTATCCGGTGACCGTAAATCATTCAGGAAGCATTTGCTGTCTTTCTATCGTAGGATGTGGGTGTGGATAAAGAGTGTAACTAGACCGCACCCGCACCCGCACCCACACACCCACACTCTCACTTGTGGAGTAACTAGAATGAAATTTATCATGGCTTACTTTCTATTTCTCTTCCTAGAGGAGTGTCATCGACGGAAATCACAGGTATATAACCATTTCAATGAAATTGAAAAACACTAATGAATTTCTTTTTCTATCCTAGATTAAATTGAACATCATAACTGTCAGATACGATCATTGTAATAAGATTAACCAGCGTGAATTAATCTATTTTTTCTATCTCCAGTCAAACTCACCATCATGATTCTCTGGTGCTATTTTCTTTAGTAATATTTAAGAAATGTACATGAATTAAATGAATTGCTTTCTCTATCTTAGATTGAAGTTATCATCATAAATCGCAGGTATGATTAATTTTGGTATATATCAAGCAGCGTGTATAAATCTAGTTTCTATCTTCATTCTAGTTCATCACGATAATTTTCAGGTACGATTATTGCAATTAGAGACATAACATGCACTGATTCCTTTTTTCTCTATATTAGGTGATATGCATGATTATGCCATTATTTTATTATATTGTTGATAAACTCGACGCCTATGGACTTATCGATTCTTATTATCTTCCATAAATGGATCGGTGAAGCATCTACGGCAGCATGGCTTTTGTTAAATATCATGATAGAAACTCAGTGGTTCCTTTATGAGGGCTATTGTAGGGACACGGAAATCGTAAATCAATCGCGCTGTGGCAAATCTCTGAATATTAAATCAGTTTAATCATACTTGGTGTTTTGTTGAGAAATTTCAAACAATAAGTAAGCTGAATATTTTCACTCACAATCAATGCGTTTATTCCTCTGTTTTAGGCTGGATGGCTGCTGAAAATGAAACATACATGTTGCGTTTGAAAGGTGCAACTAGTTGGTATGTAGAAGAGCAACGAATCGATAATTATTGTGCAGTGAATTTAGTGAGTATTATTTTAGTGCTATTGAGGCCAAATTTGAGATGCGTGGAAGGTCGTTTCAGTGTACTGTGGAAAGATTTCGTATTCAACTGTATCTTCGGAACTATTTTCTGTGCTGATCGAGATAGAAACGGACTGTTCTTGAATTTCAAGAACAGCCAGTTTTCACACTCTGAAATGAAAATTTTGCACATAGAACACATCTCATGCGTCATTATAATGAGCCTTAATGACTAACGATAGTGGTTTCCGACAGACTGTTTAAATGTGTTATTCCAAATGGTCATCTTCTTGGGTTGAGTCCGAAACCTTTGACGTGAAAGTTTTTTTTTATCATTTTCCCAAGTGGTTCGGTGCCGAACGCGTATTTTTTCGGAACCTAGAAAGGATCTTCCCGTGTGCCCGGCAGAAGATCCTTCGAAAGTTCGCTAGAATACGTCTTTTTTTTAGAGTGCATTATCATACTTTACCATATTAATTGAGCAAATCTATTTTTGCATATTTATTTGTATATCGTTGACATACAAAGTAATTAAAGATTATTTCTAAAAATTCGTAAGTGTCAATCAATTTATAGCCAATTTTGTTTGAAATATGCAATAATAGATTCTGAAGATACTTGACGGTGACTGATTAAAAACAGTTGAAACACGTTGTGTGGAGTTTGAAATTAACAAACTTAAACACACCCACACCCATAAACGAAAAAGAAAAAAATATTGACTCGAATTTTGCATTCTCCGCACCTTATAATATGAGAAACATAACTCGAATCGATGATACGTTTTGTTAAAATGCCTTTCACTACGGTTATAACTATTTTTTGAAAAGTAAAAAAATGGCAAAAAAGATCATGTTTTTAAAATATTAAACTATGCTTCGCTGGAGTGTATTCCATCATCCAATAGTGATGCTGAATGTCGTCGTTCGGAAACTTGTGTGATTTCACTCAAATGTCCGGGATAAAGTAGATCATTGGAGAGCAAATCATAGGTTGGCAATGGAAAATGAACTGTAAGATTAGCATCTTTGATAGAAAGTTCCTCATCTTCATCCATCCATGAATAGGCCACAGTCGACGAATTAAGAAGAATCTCGGTTTCTGTATCAAAGATTTGCAGTTGCATTGGCTCATATTTATTGTTTTGACCATTGAATAAATGATTAACATAGCCAGCAAGAATAAATAGTCGTTGATTCTCTTTCAATTGAATCGATATATCCAATTCATTCCAATAGAATTTCGCTCTCGTGTGTACAAGTGATCGTAGTTGTAAACGATTCAATTTCAAACGTTCCTGATAATTATTAATCAAGACATTTACAGCAATTTCTTGATAGATTGAAGGAGCTAAATTTTTATCTTGCAAAAATTGATTCAATAATATACCATCGATACAATAAGCTTCCAAAAGTCCAATACTGACACGATAAGTATCATGTGCTGGAACGTCTTGTGAAAATAAGGCATCGATACCGACAATATTTCCCGATCGGTAATATGTGGGCATTGCATCTATTTTACATTCAACAATACCTCGAGCTATAAGATAGGCAGTCTGTACTCTTTGGCCTTTTTCAAAAAGTATTTGATCCGGTTGAAACCATCGATGTTTTGCTTTCATAATCCTTTGCCAACGTGTTTTTTCTTGATTAGGTAATGATCGAAAGAGTAACAATAAATCAAAAGGATTTTCAATAGTTTTCAAGTGACCCTTAACCATAGAGACACGATAAAATTCAAGGTTCAACGATTTCTTTTCGATTAATTCCAATATATGTAAATATACGGTGTGGCCAAGCATTCCCGTTTCATAAAGTTCAGTGATCGCCTTCGATTCGTATTTGAGTAACATTTGAGCACATCTTTTTGTCATATGAATTCGCCAACAAGCTTCATAGGATTTTTGTAGATCGAGAAGAATGTAGGAAGCAGTGAGATGATAGAAACGAATTTCTTTATAAACTTTATTCCAAATTCTTTTATCAATATTAGCTAATTCTGGAAATTGCTTTCGAATATTATCCATACGAGTTTGAGTCGAATGGAAAGCTACTCGATAAAGAAATAATTTCTCAAGAAAATCAAGCACAATGAAAAGAACATTTTCTTATGTTATCACTTACCGAGGGTTAATTCAATGGTGAGAAAGATATGATCAAATAATAATTTATTCGTCTGGTTGTTAATCCACTTGACATAATCGAGTCGCCTTAGGTTTTGCAACCATTTCGATAATCGAAAATGTTCAACGATCAATTTCCAATGAAGCTTAAGTGAATGTTGATGTTTGGCTCTTTCGACGGATTTAATCAGAATGTAGAGTGTTCGTCGACGAATCATTCCAAGATACCATTGTTTTTCGTAATCAACCAACAATGCTGTGAGAAAACGAATAGTTAGCTCGTTTCGAAAGTGCGCGTTTTCTTTTTCATCATTGGATCGGAAATCCATAACTGGCAAAACAATATGTTTAATGGTCGAATTATTTTCTTCCGGAATAAAATCTATGGGAATAATGTCGACCTCGCATATGCTCGGAATTTCCTTTAACTCAATGTGTGTGATCGTATTGTTTCGATAAGAATTTAACAATAAGTCATCAGCAAAATCTGGTAGAAGAGAGAATCGCCGATGAACGCTTGTTCTTCGTTGTGCATCCATTTCTTGAACTAATTTTTCCGGTAAATATTCATTGAGCATATCCCAATCGACATCAGAAAATTGTTTTTCATGTTTCATCTTATGGAGTTGCTTCGATGTTTGCCTGCGCATATGTTCGAGGGCTTGTAACAAAATGCGTTCACTTTCCGGTGTACCTGAAAAAAAGAATATGTTCATTCATAACATCAAAACTGATTTCGTAAAAAAAAATTCAATGTGGAGTTGAGAAAGGACCTGATCTTCACTTTTCATTCTCAATCAAAAATAATCGTTGTATCAGTGAGCCACTCGCTACTTGCTCAACAGTAATGAATAGTGAATACAGTAAATTCAACAAATCAATAACTAATGTACATACCGTGATCCAAACCGAGAAATCTTACTAAGTACTTGCTGCTTGTTCCGTTGATAATCAGTGTAAGAAGAGTAATCATACATATGTGAAAAAGAAAACGGTGTCTCGTTTCGATATCGATTTGATTTTCAGAGTCAACCATCAAAGCTAAAATAACCGACATACTTCCTCTTAAACCGCTCCAGATCAGAACTATTTGTTCTTTCAAAGATAGACGCACACCACTCCAGCGTATAAATGGATGGAGTACAATGACGGATAATAGACGTCCAAGATGAAGAGCAATATACAATAGAATAGAAAATCCAAAATCACGTGCGACAATAGTTGTTTTCGTGTCGATTAGTGAGTGAGCCAAAATAATACCAGTAATGATAAAAATGAGAATATTTGCAAAATCAGTAATGATGCGCCAAGTATTGGCCATTGGAACTTGCACTTGACTACTTATACAATATTTATGTTTGCCCATGAAAAGCCCCATTACCACAAGTGCCAAGACAGCTGAAACCTCGAGTTCAACATCGGCAACGTAAAAAATCAAATAGGCAAGACCAAAAGTCGATATAATTTCAATTTCAAGTTCATTATGGACCATATTCAGAGCAATTACAGCAATGATGCCACAGGCAATGCCAAAAATTGGACCGCCTAGAATGCCAACAGACAATTTCTGAACAATGTCATCACAAAGAACGATTATGATCAAACTGTACTAACCGATAGTGAACTTGACGATGTCAATAATAATTTTTTTGGCACCATCACTTTTACCGACGACAATATCTCGAAAAATCATAAAGATGACAAAAGCAGAACCGTCATTCAATAATGATTCAAGGTCGATCAATGCTGCTAATGATTTACTCGCTCCTGATTCGTGTAGTAGTGCTACAACAGCAACGGGATCTGTTGCACTCAGAATACTTCCAAACATTATACTAAGTAGCCAAGACCAATGATAAGGAAATATGTAGGTGGCAAACAGTGCCACAGTAGTAATAGAAATGAGCACACCGGGGCCAGCTAGAAGTATAGCAGATATGATTTGTCGTCGAATAACATGAAAACGACTGTTAAAAGCAGAATCGAATATCAGCAACGGTAAAAAAATGTAATAAATAAGATGAGGATTAATTTCTCTCAATTCTTTTTCACCAAGTAAAAAATCATTGCTCGTACCATAAATATGGGAAATAATCATTCCGATAGTGAAACCAAAAATTAGTACGATCACTGTGAATGGAGCAGGAAATTTATTTTTCAATACTTGCGAAAGTATTAATTTGCATATGCACCCAGCCAAGACAGCAAACGATAAAAATAAAATCACTGTACCAATCGCATGTCCTCCTGCATCGTGAGAACCCATAGTGGCATTACCTATTGCAGTCATCTATAAATGAATAACAGCTCGATCTTCGAAAATGATTCACCTCTGAATTCAGCTTGTATACGATCTAGTTTCAAAACGCACCCAAACGCGTGCCGAGAAAAAAACGCATCTGGACACGTTCCAAACCAAATTCTTACAATTTTTTGAAAAATTAAATTAAATCCATTTCAGATTCAACCTGAGGTGCCACAAAAAATATATCATGATGGTCTTAACCTATACTGACAAGCATATGGAATATTTACTTCAACGGTCAAAGTCAGATTTCTGGTACGTGGGAAACTACAAAAGTTTTCCGCTCGGCTCTTCTAAAAGTCTCAGTTTGAGTTCAACTAGTCAGTTATAATGCGTAGACACATTTAGGATTATGTGAAAAACTTCAGGCTTATAAGTCTTGTACTTTCCTGTGGTTCGTCATTTCTTTTACGCTAGGAGCATGCAGTTTGCTAACTGATGACACATAATAAAGGGGGGAACTTTGAATTTCAGTTGTTGATCCCTAAGTACATTTTATTAAAAAACAAAATAAAAAATTTTTAGGGTCAAAATATAAAATGTAAAGTTCTGTCATTTATCATGAGTCACCCGTTATGTAGCGTATAGAAAAAGACATTTTGTTAGCGTAAAAGATATGATAGACCATAGGAAAGCACAAGACTTATAAATCTGAAATGTTGCGCATAATCCTATACATGTCTAAGCATTGTAACAGAAAACTTGAACTCAAACTGATACTTTTAGAAGAACCAGGTGAAAAAGTTTTTGTAGTGCCCTGTATACATCAAAATCGGTGACATTGATTGAGCACGTGTTCTGTCACACTGGTCATCCCTATCGTGCAATGGCTCCTATGTAAAAACACTTATGATATAGAAGTAATCTTGTACTCAACGAGTTAGTAAGAACGTTGGTCAAAGCTATACTGAAGAAATTTTTAATTTCAAGATTAATCGAATCTTACTCTCATATACAGTTGTTGCTGACGGATTAGAAAAAACTACTTTAAAAAAAATTCGAAATGTATAGATAAAACTTTATTTTCTCAAATAAGTAGCTTTTCCGATTGCTTACATCTTCGGAGTTTTTTCAAAATGTCTCGCTTATAATGTTGTTTTAAGGAAATCAAAACATGCATACTCGTGATCAGTACATCAAACTCTATTAAACGATATAAAAATAACTTCTTTTGAAAATCTTCACTATTGTGCATCGCGGCATGTATTGATTTGGTGAAACGGAAAAATGTCGAAACAACTGCATGCTGATATTTCTTGACAAGTGACATAGAGTGGCACTATTTTTCAAGGTTTTGCTATTTTTTCTGTTTCGTCATCTAGTGCTTGAGAACGGCACTTTAAACGCCAATATTTTTACGTGATCGAGACTTTTTTCTTCTATGTAAATTGCTCCGACAATTTTGATAATTTTTGGTTTTCGTCCTTCTATATAAACTACTTCGAATTTTTTTTTTTGAGATTTTTTTCTTCTACATTTGTTCGTTCTGCCAAATCAATACGATGCAGTATCGTTCGCATTTTACCTTTCATCTATTACTACAGACTGTCACAGTGAAAAAATAACTATGTATACACCTAAGCAAAATGTAATGCGAGAGTTGCCCAGCGTGTCTAAGGTGTACGAAATGAGAAAAAAACCTTGATGCATGTGAAAGACACGTTGAATAACAACAAGTTAGAACATGTTGATGTGTTTTTAATAACAATAATGACTGTTCGTTAATATCGATTGTCGATGATTAACGATAATTGCTATCGAGTCTCTTTATTGTGAATCACAGAATTTCTGTCATAATGTAACTTAGTTATTCCATCTTGATAAAATTCTACAATTCTGTGCATGTGGGTGCGTGCCTAAATCAATCCAAATCAATTCAACAATAGATCAATTTATTTCTTAACGAAAACGTAAATTAATCTGTTATTCTCAACTCTTGCTTTTGAGCAACCGATCAAGGTCAAATTCCAGTTAAAAATTTGTTAGCGCAGCCCCTTTGGGACTAAAATGTGGTAGTCACATATATCCCTTCAGCTTACTAAAATAGTTCATCTGAAAAATCTGCATTGATTTCCAAAACCTATAATTAGGTCATTGTAATGAAAAAGAGAAGAAGTTTAACTCTATCGTTATACGCGGCATTGATGTTAACTGAGCTACTTCATTCTAAATCGTTATGACAAATGGAAAGGCATTGTTTAGTGTTTTACTACACGATGTTTATTCAACTAAGCTCTACATCCAAATGTATCCATCTAATACAAAATACACGCTTATATACGCCACCAAGAAAGAAGAGAACGAAGAGAGAAGAAAATACATAGAGACAAAAGTTATTGAGAGAGAAGGGAATACGGAGAAAGAAAAAGAATTCTAGAGAGAAAATATACACAGAAAGATTACGTACTGTTCAGTGGACGATTATGTGTTGTCATATGCAAGGATGAGTATTAGTGATGCAAACTTAATTACTTCACTGCAGTATTTTCATCAGCTCTATGACTTACAAGTGGACATCCGGCGGTTCATATAACCCTTATCTAATTTAGTCCTTTACGAGGGACGCAATTCTTGGCACAGTCATTGCCTATTTGCTTATGTCTGTAATGGAATATCAATTGTATGCTCTTATATTTAACAATGGCAGAGGCTAGTTACTATAGTCTGTAATGGGCAAGCATTGCTTTTTTCGTGTACTCTGTAATTAAAAAAGGAAGAAATAGCAGCCTAATTAGTCAGGCTGCTAATTAGCACAATTTTAAACTCTTCTCTCGCTTAACGTTATCTCTTTTGATTCTCAATAAAAAGAACATCGAGAAGGGAACAGGGATACTCTAATATGTTTGTAATGGGGAGGGAGGTGGGGAGCCGCAAAAATCTCGCTTTTAAACTTACACTCATCATTTTCTTCGAAAATATATGTGAGTTTCTCAAAAGTAAAATTATTAATTTATGTGCTAAATGTAAGAAATAATTCAATAAATGTAGAGTTTAATTCGGCTGGCACGTTTCGTGTTATTTATTTATTAAAATAATGAAACACTCATCAGGGCTCTACATTTTAAATTAGCATAAATGATGAAGAAATAAGGTAAATTAGATATAGTTAAAATTAAAAACTAGGTAAAAACAAAAAGAACAATAGGCAAACAAATAAAATTTAAAATATAGTTTAACAATTAGAAACAAAAGATTAATTAATGGAATTCAGTGAAAGAGAAAAATCCGGAAAGAGCACACACTTGAAATGAACCAAGGACAATGGTTCAAGTTTGTAATAGGCTCTTCTGGTAGTATTTTGATGATATTCCATGGTTGGTGCTCGTTTTGGAGTCATATCAATGTCATGTTGGCTAATATTAATGTTTTGGTTTTTGTTAATCTTTAATTGACTATTAGAAGTTATTCAATAAGCTCTTAAGATGAAAATTTATGCTGACTACTGGTCATGTATAGTATGCTTTACCTTTATTGTCTTTACTCATACCATATTGACTATTATTATGTTTACCAACGGTTTTTATTTCTCAAGTACAATACTTAGTTTTATTTTGTTTATTAATAAATAATCAGCTATTCTAAAAAGAAATTAGTTATTTTTAATAAAGAATACTGTGCTTGGTTGAAAATTATGTTTAAATAGTAATACTAATTTTTATAGTGGAATTAAATTTCATAATCAACAGTAACTTTTATGTTACTAGATTGATGAAAATGATTTAATTCGATCCGTAATTTAAGCGTTCAGAGACTAATCAGCTGGATAATTTTCTCTAATTATGTTTCGGTGCCATAAAAGTATTTAAGTATAATTATAATTAAATATAGGAAAAAGGAATTAATTTTATATCATTCAGATAAAGAGTATGATTGATTTGTTGTAATGTAAATAGAGGTTGGCCTTTTGATTTCCTATGTATTAACCGTCTATGCACATTATCGACGTTTTGAGTATCATGGATTGATGTTACATCATTTATTGAAGATTAGCCAAAGTACTTGAACCAGAGAGTATGAAATCTCGTTGAAAATATCTTCATATTTTCGCAGTATGTAAAATGAATGAGCATATATTTTTCATAGTCTAATGGTAATTTTTGTTCGAATGGAGTATCGATTACACTGTAAAAAGAATCCGTATCTTACAAAACCCAGCCATGCTTGGAAACCCATTCGGAAACCTTTTTAGTTTCCGAACTCGAAAAAGGTTCTTGGTTTCCGAGCTTACCCAATTAGATTGAGTAAAAGTATTCTAGAATACCTTTTTCATGGTATCCGAAAATTGCTTAGGTTTTTCGGAAACCGAAAGGGTACTGTAGAATACTCAAGATATCATAAATGTAAGATGGGTTTCTGATGGGTTTTGAAAAATACCCTTTTGTGAAACTAGAGGTCTCCGAGAATACTAAAAATAAAATGGGTATTGTATAGAAACCTAAAATCGGTTCCCGTAAGTGCTATTTCAAAAAGAGATGCTCAGATAGAATTTAACATAGGTTTCCGATAATACTGAATATACGAGGTGTATTATTTGATAACAAATCAAGTTCCGAGTGCAATTCAACATTTGAAGGTCCGTATGGTTTCGAAAATTTGTATAATGTTTACTGTTTCTATCATTAGACTGCGAGTGATGATTCAAACCTAAGATTATGAGCTAGATCTGGATTTTTCTTGGGTTTCAATTATATCCAATATCACATATAATTCGACTCAAAGATTGAGATTAGTTTAATGCTTATCATTATCTAATTGGATCTTTTTTCGTTAGAATACAACTAAAATATGAAGCTATTGTGTACTTTTGAAATTGTCTCATGATATTTTTCTTTATTATCATTGACCTTGCTTTTCAAGTTGCAGTAAAATGCATAGCGTTACTAAATTAAAATAAAAAGATATAAGCAGTATGTTTGCTTAAAGTTTCTCTTGTATTCCTGGTGTCACTAAATTTCAAGGAGATCATAATAAGTTTATGCTTACATCGATATGTCAAAGTTCTAAGGCACAGTAATCAAAGTTTCTAATTCTAAATCATTCTTTCATGGAAATTATTTGTGCAGATGATACGATCAACTATGATTGGGTCAGCGAAAAATATGACACCTAGTTAGATATATTAGTAAATCTCGACATTAATTAGTTTTTGAAACAATAAAACACATGTGTACATGATTTTCAAAGTTGAATACATTGTGGAATTAGAATATCGTTGTTGATTAAACTATTATATCATACTATCGAACACAAATAGTATATGAATCCTCTAATGCATATATTCGCACTACACTAAACGTATTTTACTATAGAATTCGCTATAATTCGAATGGAATGTGTCATAATTAAGTTACGATTGGTAGAAAGTTAGCCAAAGAACAAGAAAAAAAAGTTATTTATTTGATATCTTGAAGCAAAAAATGTTTAAAAAAAAAGAATGTATTTGAATATTGAAAAATCCATATACTATGATACAATTTCACTTTTTTCTCCAGAACTCTTGTGAGGGTGCTGAAAATGCATTGGTTTCAGTACAATAAAAGTGTGGAATTGTTTCTCAGCGATGCGTCGATTTTAAGAAAGACCTGAATCTAGAGCTACGTTTATACTAACTATTATTATATCAAATATTCAGCTTTGTCGTGTTTTTTCATATCTACTATAAATATTCTATTTTAGAATCCACTTAGAAATAATCTTAACACTTAGTTTGTTTAGGAACTTTATTCTCTGTGGAAACGTTAGAAATGCGCAGCTGAATGATAAGACATTTTGAATGGTTCAGATACTTTTTATAGATGAATTTTGCTAATCCGCTTGTGTGGACAGTAAACGACCTGTCAGCTTGACTGAAACACTTCATTTCCCGCGAAGATATAATTAAAAAATTTCAAGGTGAGTCATGTTGAAATGTGATGAATCGATATTCTTTAAGGTACTAATTACTGTATGAAATTATATTCCTGTATATTGATATTGAATCGTAGCTGAAAAGCGTTGTTCAATTACTGATGTTCAATAAAATAATAAATCTAGTATAGGAGATTTGATTTTGGTCTTAATTTGATGTTGTAGAATTTTTTATTTGATATTTATTGAAAGATTTCTTATTTTCTTGTGAGATCGAAAAATACAACTAGTTTAATTATGTCCACTCAAATGTATGAATGCAAGTTTTGCAAAAACGATCAATCTGTTCACGAATTTCGTGATTATTTTCGACATATTACTTTGTACCATGCTGGCGAACATTATTTTCGATTAACGTGTGATATATCAATTTCTTGTGGTATCAAGCATAAAACATTTACATCATATAAAATGCACATTCATCGACACCATCATTCATTACTTAATCTATCTTCAAAGCAGCAAAAAGTTAATGATGTACAGGATTCTGACTAATTATCAGCTCAAACGAACAATACACTAGTTATAGATCCAACTACGACTGATGGCCCGAACACTGATGTAATTTATGCGGACGATGATAATGATGATTTTGACGAGCAATGGAATGATTTATTAATAGATCATACTCTTCAAGACAAATCGATTGGTCTTTTGAGAATTCAACAACAATATACACGCTTTTTACTTGAATTGAGAGAACATCATAATTTACCACAAAGTGTAATCCAATTCATTACAACGCACATACTATAGCTTTACTTGATAGCATAGTGAAACATTTAGAAGAGCAAGTCAGCAAAAACGATCAATTTACAACAGGAACAAAAAGCATTTGAATTAATGATATTGATTCAATTATCAAAACAATACAACAATCGATCACTATTTCAATACGCAATGAAATATCAATTTCTACAATCTTGTACAAATTTCTTTAATTATTCACCACCTATAGAAAACATTCTCTCATTAAATCAAGAAAAAAAGAATATTCCTATCATATTTCTATTAAATAATCATTAAGAAAAATTGTACAAACAGAAGATCTAATAGCATTATTAACAGAAAATATTCGAAACCAATATGGTATAATTAATGCTGACACAGACTTGATGTTTTCATGTCTGGATGGTATTGCAGGTAGAAAGATACGTAAGAATTCATTTATGATTCAATTATATGTTGCCCGGATCGGTGTTACCAATCCTATCGATTCAAAGAAGGACAAACACAAATTGACGATGATATACTTTATGTTAGAAAATATACCAGATGTATTTCAATCTATGTTACAGTGTATTAATCTAGCAGCAATCTGTTACACGAAATATTTAAGTTGTGAAGAGAAAATTAAACAATTTTATAATCGTATTGTTAAAGATTTAAATGATTTTCAGCACAATGACTTGAACATTAACACATTCAATAGTCAAGTATCATTCTCATTATCATTCTCAACAGTTGCTGGAGACAATCTAGTTGCTCACGAAGTTGCTGATTTTCAACAAACGTTTAGTTCAAGATATTTTTTGAAGAAGATGCTTAGTTACATATGAAAATCGCCTTACACCTTTGACTGATGTTCATTTTATACAAAGAACAAGTAAAGTACATAAGATACATTTATAACGAATCAAAAATCAACCACAAATAAAATCTTGATGTAGCGTTGTTGGACCAAGTCCATGAGATAATCTGTTAAATTTCGACCCTACTAATTCTTTTCCTGGTGATGCTATGCACGACTTTCTCAAAGGTAACCATCAGTTAAATAAAATTTTCTTTTTTAACTTTGTTTCTTTCGTTAAGTACATGTCCTATGGTGCTCACGGCAATGCTGAAGGAAGCGTCCAGCTCTCATTGAATTACTTTTCATGGTATTGAAACTCGAACAGTAAAATTTACATATGGTGAATTTGATAAATCTAACAAGCCTTCTCTTGTATTGGTAAAAAATCTCAATAATGATCGTATTAATGGAACTGCTTCGCAAAAATATTGCCTCTTTAGATTATTTCCAATAATCTTTTCTGATTTGGTTGAACATCTAAGTTCATTCAAAATTTATCTCGTTTTACGTGAATTATCGGACATGTTGTTGGCTTATCCTTTGAGAAAGAGTTGGTTACCATCTATAGAAACATTGTCAATACATTTTCAATCCATGATCTTAGAGCATCTTCCTGACAAAGCAACGCCCAAGGTCCATTTTGCTTCTGAATATGCCAAAATCGTCGAAGAATTTGGTTCACCGAATAGGCATTGGTGCATGAGATACGAAGCTGCTCATTTATATTTTGAAAGAATCGCGTTACGATCTTCTAATTTTAAAAATATTTCCAAAACATTGACTGAAAGACAACAACTACGTCAATGTCTATTATTGTCTCAACACTGTTGCCTGAAAAAATAGGAACAAACCAGTGGTGTTAAACGAAATTAACATGAACGAGATAGAGTCAGAAGTCAAATCTCTTTTCATGCAGAAATATCAACAGTTGATCAATCCATCCATTCGATCAATCATTATTTCAGTGTTCTCAACTTATACATAATCATATAATTTATAGACAATACACCGTCTATGTTTATGATTTAGAGCACACTGAAGAAATTCCCAAATTTTTTCAAATAGTTTACATATTACAATTGAATGAACAGTGGATATTCATCGTCAATTTTTTAAATACTGATGACTTTATTTCAAAATTATGGAGCTATAAAGTCAGCTCATATGATCGTCTCGGAATTATTTCACCAAATGACCTGAAGTATTTTCATAAGGGACTTAATCTGTATCAAGTTAATAATCTTCATGTTGTAAATCTATCGTCACGATTGACAAAAACGAATTCGATTTTTGATCAGATTAAATATTTTGGGTTGTTCTCCTTTCTGCTGCTACATTCATCATTTTAAATATACTCCAACTTCAATAGCATCGAACGTTTATGACACCATTATCTATATAAGATTTTTTATTTTAGAAGAGCAAGTGAATTGAGAAACATTACAGTTTATGAATAGTGTAGACTTACTGAAACCATTTAAATTGCCTTACAAAAATCAAATTTTGTTCTTGAAAGAAAGAGAAAATCTATTTTCTTCAAAACCAGCTTCCGAACAAACAAACTTACCATCATCACCAACTGAGACATCTCGATTAGTTATTGGTGAAGCTCCTGAAGATGTTACTGATGAAAATGAATCTCTTGATATAGTATTAGAATCATCAAGGATCACAACAACACTTTCGAATGAGTCTATAAAAGAAAAATCACTACCAAATCCTTACATATTACCTAGTTTGCCGGCTCCAGTACTTAATGCAATGCAATCAAAACAAATGGAGAAGTTCGAGAATTATGCAATTTCGGGTCAATCATCCTTGACGCTGTCTATTATGATTTGAAAAAAATAATTATAATTTATTGTATGCAGTATCTATATTCATGTTTGAAGAATTTTTTAAAGAACCTGGACAGATATCAGTGTTGAATGAGAAGACGTTTTGTATGGAAACTAGAAAAAGTATTGAGTCTGTTTATGATTGGGATGAAATGTACGTGCTAGACGTGCGAATTTATTATACTTATGACAATTAAGTTTATTTCCTAATGTTTTTGATGCAGCAAAAAAATAGCATCTTTATTTATTTTATTAAGATATCCGTCAAGAATGCAGTATACAATAATGTCAATGGAATGTTGAATTATTTATGGATTGATAATGATGAAAAAACAGCAGTAAGTGAAACTCAACAGTATAGCAAGAAAAACATTTAATAATTGTAGAGTTCTTGGCGTGAATCATCAATTTCGAAATCTAAACGGGAAAGACAAAATTACAATCATGAAAAAGTCGCCGAAATGAAATTACGATATTCAAGAGAAAAATCCGGAATAAAAATCAAACAACATCCATCTACACAAATATCAGAAAGAAATCACTCTCAGAAAGTAAATACAGTATTAATGATAAAGCTGTACCAAATTCAGCTTGTTAGATTTCTTTTCTCAACGACTCACCTTCCAATATACAGCAAATGAAAGAAAAAACAGATATTATTAAAAGAAATTTTCAAAATGAATCATTCAACAATGAAAATTTTAAACGATTATGGTTAGAAACATTGAACTATAGACTAGCATTTATTAAAAACAATACAACGGTCGATATCTTAAAAGAATTTTCAATCTATTCAAACCCATCTATGGTATTTATCAGAAACCATTGCTACCAAGGGGGGAAAAGCGGCTCCTGGTGGCTTCTGATGTATTCTAGAATCCACCAGGAGCCGTAGATTCCACCAGGATCCATAGAATCCACCAGAATCTACTAGGATCCATAGAATCCGCCAGGGTCCATGAGGAGCCGCGAGAATCCAAGGAGCCAGGAGCCGCTTTTCCCCCCTTGATTGCTACACTTGTAGAATTTGATGTTTCTCGTTTAGATTTTGATGGATGTTAACGTATTACGTGGTATTGATTTGGATCATATTGCTAAAGATAACATAGACTCGTTTGTCAATAAAATTTGCACTGAAAATAAATTTTTAGCAGGTATATCTTATAATTTATAAATTTATAATCACCAAGCTTTGCTTCTAGATACCTCAAGCACCCGTTGTATTAAAACTTTATGTGGCTTGCTAAATGATTCATGGAAGCATTATATTTATTTCCATCCAGAAGTAAGTCATATCTATTAACTTTTATTTTACAGTCAAGAAAGAGATAATGAATAGTAATTTTAAGCTTTGTGTTATTGTTCACCTTGTTTAATGCATTGTATCTAGCTTAGTTTAAATAGTTTACACTTTATCTTTTCTTAGAATACTAATTTAGTTTAGTAGCAGCTAGCAGTCTTAAGATATATAGATTTGTTTATTAGTTATAACTATTCACTGGTTTTATGACAAGCCTATTTTAGATGATCATATACAGATTTTTGTTACAATTGAAAAACTTTGCCTTATTCATAGTTTCAGTTCAATAGTATAAGAAAAATATGCTGCAAAATGTCATTAATTCTTTTACTATTAATAGTCCCTAAATACCTTTCATTCAATGTCTTATAATAATTTCTATAGAAACTTGCTTCACCTCAACCATCAATATTAATCGATGATGAAAATATAAAAGTCTACGTTGATTGGTCGTATGTATGCTCATGTACTTCCATTGATCAAAATATTGCTGTACTTGTTGGATTATATTTTTTATTGGGTCTTAAACTCCATCCGCATCGTACCACTATAAGATTTTTATACGTGTATTTAATGGCTGATAAAAATCAACAGTCACATGTCATTCGCCGATTCTGTAAAGAATACAATCAAACAATCCAGTGGTGGACAATGGCACGATAAGTCGTGATGGTGTGTTAACTGTTTTTCAACAAAAAAACAATAGTCAACAACTACCAGATCAAACTCACACGATACAGTGTGAATCTGTTTCAAGTCAGTAGCAGAGCCCATCTAAGAGAAAAGTAGACGAAGTGAATAATCCTGAGCCAACATCAAACGAAAACAATCCACCATGTAAAAGACGTGGCAAACCTACTCGCTGCAAACGATGATCAAAAAGTACATAATACTAACCGTTTAATAGGAACTCGTCTCTTCTTTCATTCAACTTTTTATTATACAAACCGGCTTCATTTTAACGTACTTCGAAAAAATGCCAGTCTTTTTTTGTAAATTTTCTTTCTACTGATAAAAAAAACTTTCCATATAAATGATTTTATTTCGATCAAGAACAACCTAATACAATCATCATAACAATCGATCTGTAATCATTCTTTTTTTTCTTTATTCTCTGGCTTTGTAAAATTAAATCGCACCGTTCTGAGATCGTTAAAATAAGTATAGTACGTCGCAAAGTTATTTCCGAAGGTCAAATATTGAATCCCACCACTGAAAAAGAGCTTAATATCCGTAAAGAGCCATATGGCAATCGGTTCGTACCACTGCTGATAACTAAATAAACAAAATCAACAAGCACGTTCATCCATTACCACCAGCACAATAAGTACTTTACAAGCGACATTATCGAAAAAATAATAAACTCAATTGCTGATTACCACCGACCAAAGAGTGAGTTCAATCGAACTTTCGTGCCAAGCAATCAACACTGCCATAAATCTTGCAGAAAGATCAGCAGATTAAATTAATATGGGTTCATAAATCAGCCCTCTTCATAACAATATTTTTAGAAACAAACGGTTACCGATCACAAAAACATATGAACTTCAGCAAATCTATACAATCAAGATAATTCAAGCCGCTCACAACCGATGATGTTTCATTCGCACCAATCAATACACATACATAGCTTATAAGCTTCTCTTCTTTCACTTAAATCTGTAACAGAATGTCAATCCATCTATTTTGACTACATCCAATTTACATATTCTTCCCTCAAAACGATTCTTTCATATATAACACCCTTTCCCACCATTCTTCTACTAACCACCGGCACTCCTTATGATTGCCGCACAAAGATCCCCCTCTAAATTCTACGAACTTACATACACATTCCACTCCTTACTCTCCAACTATGAATCGCCATAAATTTTACCGAAAGTAACCCATTCCAATTCGTTTCGCTCATTTTGAGAACCATATATCCCTTTTCTACTTTAGCTTATGATTCCACAAGATCTTCATTTAAAAGTAACTTCAATCGATTCATGTTAACAGAAATTATATTTCATACTTGTTCCATTTTTACATCAACCTCATTTCTACTGCACGTAAGGGCTCATTCTCAAAAGAAATACTTTTTTACTATAGTCTGCTGCATTTTCTTAAGCATAACTACTTAATGCTTTCGTGTAGCTACCGAATGAATCTCATAGCTAGTTAATAAATATCATAGCTACTTAATGAATCTTATAGCTACTCTGAAAACAAAATGGTATCATATGGAGCTACTTATGGTTCTAGCCAAGATACTGAACTTTTTAAGGTTTCGCTCGCTCATTAATAAACCATCGAGATTTCTAGCGCGTTTAAAGAACTATCTCAGATCCTCAATAGTTCCGGACGTTTGAAAAGGTTCTGTCCTGCACCATTTTTTTTAATTCTGAACCATCTTTCCAAAGATGACTCTAAGCAAGATACTATATTTTCGGATCGTGATTCAAGTAATATAAATCTCAAATAGGTTACTGAGGTCGAGGATTCCGAATCCGTCATCATGTTTTCGATGCCAGGGATGCAATAGTTGAATGGTATACCTGGGTAGTTGTGTTTCCAAAATCAATTCAATAATTAGTGGCATCTTTTGAAGTGTGATTGTTCTTTATCTTTCTCGATATGTCACATGTATGAATAGACAGGTAATGCCAATCTGATAAAATGAATTCAAGATTTTCTGTAGTTAGGTATGTATGAATAATCAATTGAAATGCAAGTTTAATGTGATAAAATGAATTAGTGTTTATTTTAATATTTTAGGTATATGCGAATAATTCTTTTAATGGTAAGTTGAATCTTACAATATAGGTCACTGTTCTTTTTTGGTTTTGTTTAAGATGGTCTCAACATCAACTAACGGCGATGCCGCTTTCGTGCGGATAACGGAGAAAGTGCTAGCTCGTATTCTACTCACAACAAATCTAGGTAAATATAACAGATAGATATAAGGGTTAAGGATAGAAATGAATACGGTGTAAAATGTCCTTGAAAAATGCCTCTCGTTAAAAGGGCCCTTGCTATAAAAATATCCCTTATACTTTAATTTTAGTTGTTGAAGTGTGTTAGTGAAATACAGATGACGCCTACGAAAGAAATATATCGGCGCATATTTTAATTGTCTAATGCAGAAGATACGATTACCGTATAAATATAATTCAATAAAGACAAGAGAATATATCGTTTAAGTATCATTCTTTGTTTTGCGTAATATTTTTCCGTAATCGCAATAAGACATTTTTAATGGGATCTAATAAGTTGACAACTATTGATGAAACTCAATGTTCATCGTCATCTCAATCACCTGAAAATTCATTTTTACAACTAAGTCCAACTAAACCAACAATTACAAAAATATACTCGAATAAAGGAAAATTTATGTTAATTATTAACGGTTATAATTTTCCAATTTTAAAATTTTAATCGAAAGAAAACTATAAAATTTAGGCGATATACAAACCGAAGTTGTAACGTAATTTTACATACAAATTCTGATGATACATTTATAAGATTTTCTGGAACAGTTACTGTTCATAACCTAATTTTTCAAATTAATAGCGGAATGGAACCTCGTGCAAAGCGACCCGAGTCAAAAATTGCAGAACAACATATGAAAGAATTATATGAACGATTCGACAACAAACAAATTGATCCACAAGAATTATTAAAAGAACTTTATCTTTTGTCGCAAATGGAAAATAAATTAGAATTTTATTCGCTTTTAATTGATTATATGGCATGATTGATTTTATGAATAAGAGTAGTTCATGTTTTACAAAAAGCACATCTTGAAAATGAAAGACATTTTTCCGGAGGACAATATTTCTAAGGACCATTTCTCAGGAACATTTTATAGACTGTTACCGAAAACAAAACTAAATATACTAATTTGAAAATGAAAGCGTTGATCATTTTATAAACAGTAAGCAAGACGAACATTTTTATCTGATAGTATTATCCATTTTCACGAAACCTTGACAACCGAGAAAAGTCTATAACATATTCCACATCCGTTGGCCTTGAAGTTAGATAGTTACCACCGGTATTTTGTCTCATTTTAACAGCAACGATGTTTTCAATGCTGATTATTTTCTCATGCTCGTTCTACTCAGACAATTCACGTTTTACATGGCATAGTAATATAAAAAAAGGATACACCGATTCTATAATAAATTCGTTTCAAATTTACGAGAATGATACATTCAGAATCATCTGAAATAAGATCGACTGCATTTTAAGTGTAGACTGTTTACATTCATAAAAGTCAGCATCAATATAAGTAAACACATTCAGGTTTTTATTTGAATGATTGAATATTAAATATTTATTTCTTTTAGGCTGAGGAATTTTCAAGATTTAATAAAATTGATGAATTTAATCGTCAACTTTTTAATCAACTAGCACCAAATGATTTTTACATCGGTTTCAACTTATATTGCAAACCACAATCGGTCTATCTTGTTTACGATGAATCAAATATAATTTTTACGCACCGGATGAAGGCACCCACTGATTTAAACTAGTTTTAATTATGGCTAATCAAAGTCAAGTCTCGCTACATGGAATTGGCTAACTGAAAAATAGATCCATATTTTACTGTGCCCAAGCCAAATTCGACAGGAGAAATCGGACAAAATTTGTATCATATAAAGATCTTAATCTTACTAACGCTATTCCAACGAGTATCAGACGAAATTTCGTTCTAGAGATCATCGCGCCATAAAAATGCTGACTTTAGATGCGTACGCGACGGACTACATAAGTGCTTCTACTTTGCATCGCATTAGTAAGCATCAGCATAGTAGAATTCTTGTGAAACGTTATCAAAAAACGAAAAATGGAAGCAAGTTACCGAGTGGTGGCCTAATTTCGCTACACTGAAGAACGACTTCTTTTCCACACAAGCATACATTAAACGGTCGGTGTTACCCCTAGGATATATACTTCGATATAACATATATAGTCGATCTCTGGATCATAATGACTTTTTGCTGACTCGTGATGTGCTGACCTCTATACTCAGTTGGTGATTGATTCATTACAACTACTAATCAGATCACGAATACGATCATGCACGAAGATAGATTTCACATCACATCGATTAATAAGCTAAAAAAATCTTAATTTATTAACAGATCTTGAAAAAATATCACAAAATTGTAGTATTGATTTCAATGATTTGATTATCTTTTTAGATGCGTCCATACCAGAAAGAAAAAGTAAAGAATTACTCAGCACGTATTCCACAATGGAAAAAAATCGATAAAGAAATTCAACAATTGACAAGACAATATCATCAAGTACGTATTACATATTCTTTCGTAACTTGTCATTGTTGACAATTATTTATTTAGATTGATCCTGGATCGATTGAAACTTTTAAAGATTTTCCGTTGAGTCAAAAAACTCTTGATGGTAAAAATTCAATCGTTTTTTAATCGTTATTATTCATTCAAATCAATTTCAGGTTTAGTTAAAGCTGATTTCAAAAATCCAACTGACATTCAACGTGAAGCTATTGGAGTTGCACTACAAGGTCATGATATTCTTGGAGCAGCAATGACTGGTTCAGGAAAAACACTTGCATTTCTTATTCCAGTATGTTAATGTATTCCTTTGTAACGTCATTAAAATAGAATGTTAAATCATAATATAGGTTCTTGAATGTCTTTATCGAGCTCGATGGACGAGCAATGATGGCCTTGGTATTTTAATCATATCACCTACTCGTGAACTTGCATATCAAACATTTGAAGTTTTAAAAAAGATTGGTCAATTTCATGATTTTTCAGCTGCATTGATCATTGGTGGAAAAGTAAGCATTTAAAAAAAGCATCTATTCTTAAAAAAGATTCGCCTAAATATCGTTTAACTTTTAAAGGATTTAAAAGGCGAACAAGAGCGTATCAATCGTACGAATATCATTGTCTGCACACCTGGTCGATTGTTACAACATTTTGATGAAACATGGAATTTTTCATGTGAAAATTTAAAAATGCTAAGTAAGAATCAATCACTCTGATTTATGATAAAAGAATTTTTCCTTTCAAATAGTTATTGATGAAGCTGATCGTACATTAGATATGGGTTTTGCTGAAACCATGAAATCTATTGTATCTAATTTACCGAAGGAACGACAAACAATGTTATTTTCCGCTACACAAACGAAGTAAATTTTTTTTTTGTATTCAATATAATTACTTCTTTTCATTCATCTTATAGATCCATACGTGAATTAGCTTTAGTCAGTTTAGAAAAACCGGTGTATATATCTGTTCATGAAAAAGCGAATACAAGTACACCATTAAATCTAACACAAGTAAAACTAAATTATTTCAAATAGAAAGAATAATCTCATGTAATTTTTGTTCAGAGTTATATCGTTTGTGAAGTACCACAAAAAATTGGTTTATTATGGTCATTTATTAAAAATCATCTGAAATCAAAAATGATTGTTTTCATTCAAAGTTGTAAACAGGTACAGTTCATTTTCTAAGTTATATTATAGAAAAAAAAGTAATATAAGGATGGATATGGGACTATTGTGTATATTCTAAAATCGTAAGCTTGTCTCACAAACTGTCACTCTAGAGTTCATCGATTGATTGTTTTCATCTAAAATATTTTCTAGGTTAAATTTCTCTATAATGTTGTGTGCAAACTTCGTCCCGGTTTACCAGTACTTGCATTGTATGGCACGATGGGTCAAATGAAACGAATGTCAGTATATGATGAGTTTTGTCGAAAACAACATGCTTGTTTGTTCGCAACTGATATTGCTGCAAGAGGATTAGGTAAATTAATTAATTTACAAACTTAGATTGATATTTATAGATAATTTTAGATTTTCCGTCTATTAATTGGGTTATTCAATTTGATTGTCCACCGGATGCTAATACATATATTCATCGCGTAGGACGAACTGCACGGTCAGAAATGAACATCAATTAATCCAAATGAAATGTTTTATCTCTTTAAAATAGATTTCAACATGGTGGAGAAGCTTTGTTAATTTTAACAGCTCGTGAAGAACAAGGAATGATTAAACAACTCGAAGATAAAAAAGCTCCAATAAAAAAAATTGAGTGTGTAGGACAGAAAAATGTTGATATTAAACGTTTGATACTTTTTTTTATTGTAGAGTTAATCCTAATTATATTCATGATTTAACACCAAAACTTCAAGCACTCTGTGCACAATTTCCAGAACTTAAAGAAGAAGCAAAACGAGTAACAACGATTTTTATCATTATAAGCAACGATCTCAGTATTTGTTTTAATTTATAGGCGTTTACATCTTATCTTCGTTCACTTATTCTGATGGGTAATCGAAAAGTGTTCGATGTTAAATCAATTGATATCGAAGCGTTTGCTAGGTAGGATATTTTTTCGTTTATTCAAAAATTGTCTATATGATTTCTATGATAGTGCATTGGGTCTTGAAATTGCGCCAAAAGTTCGTTTTATTAAAAAAGGACAAAAACAAGAACAGCCAACCAATGGCGACAATAAATCGTCAGTTGAAGACAAAAATAATGATGACAGTCAGAAAGAAGAAAACAAAGATACTGAAGACGAAGATGACGATGAAGAAGATTGGTTTACAGTGAAAAGAACATCTGATACACTTGAACAAGCAACTATTGATCTACCACAACCAGTAGAAAAAGAAAAAAAAATATCAAAAGCTAAATTAGCTAAAAAACTACGGAAGAAAAATCTTCTCGTTAATAAACGTGTTGAATACGATGAAGAAGGCAACGTAAGTACTATGATTATATTTTCATTAGAAAAGTCGAATTTGAGATCGATGCAGGAGAAACAAGATTTTTTATGCGGATTATCCCTCTCGGCATGACACTGTATCTCGATTCATACGTTTTTATTTGTTATCCCGTGATGTTTCAAAGGAAATTTATTGCAGCCAATTATTATTTTAATTTGAAGCTCATGTGAAGAGCGCCAGCTTTGCTTTTTGATAATTATAGAAAGACAGGATTTCTATAAATAGATGATCATTTTTTTTTGAGTAATTGCGTGTGTTCTCTTTTCTCAGCTACACTTTAATATGAAATACTCTTTCAGAAAAAGACATTTATATCTTGAGAATGAAAAGATTTCACTAATATACTTTATCATGCGATATAACTGAGGTAGGAATAGAAAATCTCAAAAGTAGAATTTCAATCAAGTTACTGGATGGTGTGTTAAAGTAAGTCAAAAAAAACTATGGCTAACTCGTAGCTTCTTTCCAATATCCTCTGCTATTAAACAGTCTATCGGGTACATCTATATCGATTTGTTGAGGAGAGTCATTTTCCCCTTACGTTGTGTGACATTTTAGTAGCATAGTTCATGTCACCAAGTAATTTATTCTAATTATTTCCATAAAGGTCGCTCTGATTTCTAATTGAAGTTTAGCAGGAAGGGATTTAAATTTAGTAATCTCTCTCTCTCTCTATATATATATATATCTTATTTTAATAATTTAGGTAATTGTTAATTCAGATGACGAAGATCAATCATCAACGTACAATATTGAAGAAGCCAAAGCTCGTCTTCAAAATATGGATAAAACCGATAAAGAAGCTTATCGTGCATTGATCAAACAAAAACATAAGGTTGATATTCATTTTGAATGTAGAAGCGACTAGCTGCTCAGCTTAAATGTTCTTTATATTAGAGCCACATGGTCTAATAATTCATAAGATAATTGGATAGGTTGTGGATTTGAGAACTTAAGGGAATGCCTGCAATTGAAAAAACCTGACATTTTCCTTTATGCTGTTATTCTCTCGGTTCACTGATCAGTTTTACTTACTTATTTATATTTTTTAAGGATCGTCGTTTGAAAGAAAAAGAAGCTCGTAAAGCCGCACGTGAAGCCAGACGACTTAAAAAGCAAGAAGACGAAGAAGAATCCAATGAAGATGAAGAAAAAAATATTGAAAATGGAAAAGAAATGAACGTCGATAATGATGAAGAAGAAGAAAGATTAGAAAGGTTTGTGACACTTTAACAAAAGCAAAACTAAACTATCTCGTTATTTAATGTTTTTTCAGAAAACGAAGCTTATCACCACCACCACAAGCTGAAACAAAAAGAAAAAAGAAAAAACAACGATCGTTGACAGAATTCATCAACGATGATTCTACAAAGACTATAAATGATACAGAACAACTTGCCCTGTATTTGTTATCAAAATAAAATTGTTATCACTATTTGTGATTTTTTTTACATCTCAAATTATATTTTGATTCACTAAGATAATTCTATTGAAATAAGACTCCTTCTTCATTCATATTAAATATAGTATACTACAAATGGTTACGCAGGAAATCTGTGTGAATGCGCTCGAGCGTTAGTTCATTGCTTTTTAAAGTAAACTATGCATTTTTGAAAAGATTAAATTTCTAGCATCACAACGAGATGAAACCTCAGGCGCATGTGTAAACATCCACGCTCGAACTACTCACCGTTCAATTCCACTTAAACAGTTTCTACACCTCCCATGGATTACTTTTGCGTTTCTATCGAACTTTGAAGTAGTAATGTTGGTGTGTCTGTGTGTGTAACACAACCCCCTCTGCTCACATATTTCGTATTCGTGTGTACGAGATTATAGAAGCCGGTCCCAATAGATAATCACGTTTGCGATCAATCAAAATCTTTTGTAGAACACATGGAAAACTAAAACTACGTAAGATAATCTGATTTGTCTTTCTACATAGCAACATCAATCCAATAGATTAATTCGACATGAATTATTGTAACATGTGCAAAATCTAGTTGGTCAAGTTTTTGAAAACTGAAATTCGATTTTCTACTATGCGTTTTTAAGGATATACTATAATTAAAATACTCTATGTGTGAGCCATTTTACAACCTCGTATTCGTTTTTTTGTGTTCTGTTGATCATATGTAGCTTTATGCTTAAATCGATAATAGGCTTTTCTTGTTAAATATTTCTTCAACGCAACCATCAATTTTCTAATAATAAATCATTTGTTTCTGGTCGTTGAGTATGAAAATCCATTCTGCTCAATATTAATCAGATAATAAAAAATACTCAGTTCATCTGGTGCATTTTATAAGAAATTCTAATAAGTAATGCAATTTCAAGTTTTTAGATACCCTCAAATTCTATTACACTGAGCAATACTACGTCCTATTCCACGATCTAGTTAATAGTCTAATCTATTATAAAAGATATTTGTTACTCATGATTTATTATGGATATCTGCGTGACATTTTCGATACATTAACTACATATAAGTAACTTCCCACATTTAGATGCGTAATAGGAGCTTAAGACAGATACATGAATAACTCGGTCTCTTTGTTCTTAAAGCTCATAAAAAGAATAATAAAGGCGATCAAAATTGAAAAACAAAAGATGTTTTTTGAATTTTTTTATTTTTAGATATAAAATACGAATTCAGTAAGTTATTTTAGTTCGTAAAATGCTAAATTTTATTTAGCTATTGTTGTTGTTTTTCGTTCATTCGAAATCTTGTGTATGTTGCCATTTGAATAGTTCAAAACGGTTTGATACAGGTACACTAAATTCATAGTCTATTGATCCTGTTCGTAACTGTTGTGGTGATGAAGATCGAGATTGATTTGACTTGTTTAATAAATATTGATCATAATATTCAATGAATTGATCAATCAGTTGATCTTTCTGTTCGATAAAATCTACATATTGTTCATAAAAGTAGCATTGTCGCCGTTTTAAATTCAATAAATCGCGTTCAATATCTCGCATTTCAAGTAGACAAGCGTCAAGCTCACGTGCGAAATATTCGTCTCGTTGAAGATCTTCCTGAAATTCCTCATCAAAATAATTCAATCGATTGTCTTTGAGAATGTTATTCAGAACAGGCCCAAGAAGAATATTGCATTGTTGTGGTGATGGTTCACTAGAAGTGGAAATAACATTTGATGATATCTGTTCATCAGTGTTCACCGTCGCCGGTGCAGAATAGAAAGCCTGAAATCTGCCCAGTAAACGCCGAACATTGGATAAATATTCAAAGACACCGAAGAGTGCTAGCATTGATTTTTCTAGTTAATGTCTACTCTTCCCGGTATCTCGTATGCACCATCTGTTGACTTTTCTTTTCCTAATATAATTGCTATTCAATAATAATAATAATAGCAGATGACTCGTTCTGCCATCTTAATAGTTATTTTTACTTTTTCTATTTTATTCTCACTGTTCTTCAAGTATGCATCGTCATCATCCTAGAGAAATAATTCATTATTAACTGGGCATAAAATAATAATAAGATATTCTATTAGAAAAATGTTTGAACATGTAATTTAATTATAAAAACATAGAAATTAGAACAAGCAATAAAACTATCGAAATAATGTTATAATCGATTTTTAATTCCAATATATTTATTAGTTTAGATATGATTTGATTTTCAGTTTAAAAAAGAAATTTTTCCTTTGGTGTTTTTGTTTAATATCAATAAATTCTTTTTTTTTTTACAATTTATAAAGAACATCTGATATAACTATGTTCACATTTTGGTTGAATCTTCTTTTTTTTTATTCATGCAAATACTAATTTATATCCTTATGCAAATAGTATTTATTATCATTTTTTTACTTTGACATCTGTTGTCAATGATTATGATCATTTTTTTTTCATACGCAGAACAAGATGCGAACAAAAACTCATTTATAATTGCTGCCGTATTTGTTTTCGCCTTGTTTTCAAGTAGCTTTATTATATTAACAATTGTTTTTCTTCGTATGTATTATAACTACTTGAAAGCCAACGAAGAGAAAACAAAATGAAAAGTAGCGGAAAAAATAAAGCTAACGGTGTAAAAGTTAAGAATAAGAAAAACGAAAGAAGTTATTTTTAAGTTTAACACAACCAAGCATGCATATGCATCTATGTGCTTGTCAAATAGTGACGTCGTTCCGAACGGGCCTGTTTACAAAGATTCTGATACTACTCCACCAAGAACGGAGGGCGTATAAAAAAAAAGAAACGATGAAAAAGAATAGAAAAAAAACATCGATTCTCTTGGACTTCTGCTATTCCTATTTGCTCTATTATGAGATTCGTTCTTTTCTTTTTCTCTCAGCACCATGACAGAGTAGAATAATAATGTGGGAAAAATGCGTGTTGATTGAAAGAAAACTAGCAATATATTTCTTCCGTCCATAAGTTCTTTCCTTGTGTGTAAACGAATGTCGCGCAGATATAAAATAACAAACATTCGCCAGTGACCCAAATCCTATTTGTTATCTATTTATCTTTCCGTAGAATAATTCATTATTCTATTTAGTTAGTATATCATCGAAAGAATGAAAGATTAGTGAGACTAGTCTTATTGATTATCTAATACTTATCGTCGATATTTTATTGTTGTAGATGTCGGATTCAACAACAACGACAGATGGAAGCCAAAAAAGTTTGAATATGTCCGATTCTACAAGTGTATCTCAAACATCGTTACCCGCGGAACAACAATCACAGCAGCAACAACAGCTACCGCCCCCACAGAGACAGCAATCAGCGAAAATAAACCGTTCTGCAATTTTACTAAATGGACCTAGTATGAAAGATCAATCATCATCATCATCGTTTCATATTTCTATGGAAGATCGCGAAAAATACCGATCACCATTAAATTCCAGATATGCATCTGCTGAAATGAGTTATAATTTTAGTGAGATTAAAAAATTTTCTACTTGGAGGCGTCTTTGGTTTTGGTTAGCGAAATGCCAAAAAGTATTTTTCTTCAAAAGAAGATCTATCATTTAACTCGATATAATTGTTTTTTTGCTTTCTATTAGCAACTTGGTTTGGATATCACAGATGAACAGTTAGAGGAACTCGAGCGAAATATAACAAATATTGATTTTGATATTGCTGAAGCTGAAGAACGACGACGGCGACATGATGTGATGGCACATGTTCATACATATTCACGTTGTTGTCCCAAAGCGTCACCAATAATTCATCTCGGTGCAACATCGGCCTATGTTGGTGATAATGCTGTACGAAGAATATTTTTTCTTCCGTACGAAATGTTCTACATTCTTTTTCCTAATAGGATTTAATCGTTATGAGAGATGCATTCGATATACTTATCGTTAAAGTAAAAACAAATTCATATAATTTTTGTTTACGAAAATTATTTTATTTTAGCTTGTACGTTGTATTCAACGTTTCACTCAATTTGCACAAGAATATGCCAGTTTACCGACACTTGGTTATACACATATGCAGTATGTATGATTTTTTTCAAAGATGCAGGCTTATAGATGAAAATCTATAAGACGCTATTCTCGTTATTTTTCTTGTCTGCAATTCGTCAAACAAGTAATTGTTTTCTTTTCCGATCATCTAGTCGTATCAGTGATCTCTACGTTATTTGTCGGCTACGACAGAAAGAAAGAAAAAAAAACGAAGTGCTCATCATTCCCGATGTGATGGTGGGAGAGCAAAGATCAAGGCAGTCGTGTCTTTTTAAATTGACTGAAATATCCTTGACATGAAAAGGAAATAGATTTTGTTAATTTTATTTGTTGTTGACTTATCCTTATATGTATAAGAATTTTGTTTGCATTGGGATTATCAAACATAGGAAATGCTCTACAATTATCTCTATGATTTGTTTTTACTAAGTAAAACAAAAGGTTTTAGCAATCGATCATGATTAAAGTATAAAATAATTAATTAATTATGTTCGTTATTTTTATATATTCGAACAAAAGCATCATAATCGAATTTTCGATTCGTTTAGACCAGCACAATTAACAACGGTGGGCAAGAGAGCATGTATTTGGATTCAAGATTTATTAATGGATTTAAAAAATTTCGATCGTATAAAACGCCAATTAAAATTTCGCGGCGTAAAAGGTACAACCGGTACTCAAGCATCTTTTCTTCAATTATTTAACGGTGATCATTCAAAAGTAAATAAACCTTTGAGTCGAACCTTTGTTTAACTATGTGTTTTATATATTAACAAAAAACAAAAAGGTTGAAGATCTTGATCGTATGGTAACAGAGATGGCTGGCTTTTCAAAGTAAATATTTTTTTGAACTAAAATTATCTTTTGCTACATAAGAGCATTGTTTGAACCTTAAATCAGGACTGTTTCCGGCTTTCCGTTAAACTATTATCTTGATTCATGTAATTAAAATAAACGAACAAATACGATGTAGATGTCTGAGACTAGTATTTTTCAGAAAATTAAAGTAACGAAGTTTTTAATCTAAATCAATAACAAAGAAATGTTATAGTTAACGTTATTTTCGTGTTTGAAGAGAAAACAGGAAATATCTACTTGTTGTAATCAAACAGGAAATAAAATTAAAATAGATTTTGTTGATAAAACATTTTCTATTTATTTTAGAGCTTTTATAATTTGTGGTCAGACTTACACGCGTAAACTCGATGTTGAAGTAGTCAGTGTACTTGCCAGTTTTGGTGGTTCAATTCATAAGGTTAATTAATCGATTTTTTCTTTTTTTTCTCAAAAAATCGATTGAATTATTCTTTAGATGTGTACTGACATTCGTTTATTAGCTAGTTTAAAAGAAATCGAAGAACCATTTGAAATTGAACAACTTGGTATTAATAGAAAAAAACGTTCTTACCAATTTTATACTTTTAATATTTTTATTTTCGTAGGATCGAGTGTTATGCCATATAAACGTAATCCAATGAGATGTGAACGATGTTGTTCACTTGCACGACATTTAATGACATTGATTAATGATCCACTTGGTACACACTCAGTTCAATGGATGGAACGAACACTAGACGATAGTGCTAATAAGTACGACAGTCATTTGTCACAAGTTTCATTTAAAATTGAAAAAAACTTTGTTTCTTATTATTTAGACGTATTTGCATTCCTGAAGCTTTTCTAACTGCGGATATTATTTTATTTACGTTACAAAATATTTCTGAAGGTCTTGTTGTTTATCCGAAAGTAAAAAAACAAAAAATAATTCGGTTACCTTATCTGATTTTGCTTATTTTTACTGTCATGTCATTAGGTCATTGACAAACATATCAAACAGGAATTACCATTTATGGCTACTGAAAATATTATCATGGCAATGGTAATTATATTCAGATTTATTCGCGAGACTATTTTCGATTTCTTCAGGTTTCTGCTGGTGGTAACCGACAAGAATGTCATGAAAAAATTCGTACTCTGTCACAAAAATCAGCTGAACGTGTTAAACTTGATGGTTTAGATAATGATCTTGTTGATCGAGTAAAAAACGATCCGTATTTTGCACCCATAATCAACAAGCTTGATGTAATACTCGATGCTAAAACATTCATCGGACGCGCACCCGAACAAGTATAATTATGATTTTCCTTTTGTCTAATATTATTTTTTTTTCTTTTTAGGTTTTCGAATTTATCTTGCGTGAAGTTGAACCAACTTTAAAAAATTTTCTAATCCCAATTACACCGAAACTCATTGATTAAATCTGTAAGCAAAGCAAAACATTAATAATGGACAAATACAAACATTTATTTTACCTCAATAGTTATCTGCTTCATCTTTCGTTTGTTTTCTAACCATATGTTGTACATGTCAAGTGTGTTTTACTATTCTTTTTAGAATTAGTCGTTTTAGACGAACAAAAAGATACCGGACAGGAAAAACGCGAGAAGATAGGGAGAGCGAAAAAAGTAAACGTAGTATTTTTTAATTGTACTTCTAGTTCTTTCGAACAAAAAAATTCTTATTATATATAACAAGTATGGCTTTTTGCCAAAAAACAAATCGTGTTTTGTACTTACGACTGAAAATTGATGAACTTTGATGAATGAATACATTAGAAGAACAAAAAGAAAACAATCAAGATTTCTTACTATTTATTTCAACAACAAAAAAAATCTATAGAAAAATCTAATCTAAGCATTGACAAGATCTTTTTCATTCAATATAGTATTGCAACCGGCTAATGGACATTTGGCTGAACGGTTCGTTTTATTTTTATCAGCAATATATTTAAGTACGGCCTTTTTCTCATATTTATGTTTGCATTTTTTATTTTGTACTGGCTCAACAAATGTTTTTTGTGTTAATGGGCATTTGTTCGAAGCAACTTGCTCGACAATATTCGCTTCATTTTCGTCATCGTCAACATCTAAATGATGAGTAAAAAATGTATTTGTAGAAATAACTATAAATTGAGTTCTTTTCCATTTTTTTACCTTGCATTTTGGATATATATTCAAGAAATTCAGCATAACGATTATCAGCTTCAAGATTAGATTCATTTGAATCCGGTGGTTTAATCAATATTTTATTTAAACGATTTTCTAATTTTTCTAAGTTTTCGGTGTTCAATGCTGAAACTTCAATCTGCTCGTCGATTTGTGATTCATCAATTTCCATTTCATTATCATTTTCTTCATCTTCATCCGAGTCTTCATCGTTATCTCGATCTTTCCGAACTTTTGGATGACTCACTTTGTCTTGAGTATCATTAGTTTTATCAACAAGTTTTATCTAAACAAACGAATAATCTTATATCATCAAATTAGATTAAGAATAATCTTCATCGGGATCGAAAAAAGAAGGCGATCTATTTAAGTAATAGAAATCTAAGTCGATTAGTTAAGCTGCGCTGGTCGCTATTTATTAAAAAGAAATACTTTCAATGCTAAAGTGACATGAAAAATACGTCATTTTAAGTTTTGAAAAGCTTCCACACCGAAGATAAATTTTCTTCTCTTTTTCATTTGGAAGAATATTCCAAAAGAAAAAGCTTTTAGTCTTCGCTCATGTTATTGACTTTTATGTCTCCGATAGTGTTCGTAATATGATGACAAAGCGACGGTTATTCAAGCGCATGAGTATTACTATTTATAGATACTTTGGAGTAAAAAATATTTCTCACTGTAGACAAAATAGAATAGAAAAAAAAATTCATCTTGTAGAAAATAGCAAAGGTAAAGCTTTTAGTCTATCAAAAACGTCTCATAGATCCAACAATCAAAATTTTTGATGTAGTTAAAGAAAAAATCTGATAAGATCTTTCTAGAGCGGTCTCGTCATCTAGTTTTCTAGAGCAGTAAAATCTCGGCGTCATGATTTTTTGATGAAGTTCTATGCACTAAGAGTATTTTGTTTACCCACTCGTCTATAATCTTACACGACTTGTAGGATTTCAAAAATTATAAATAGAACAATAGTATCACGTTATGGATATATCCGGTAATATATTGTTTTTTTTCTCCTTCGTACGTAGAACCCTGAGAAAAAAATGTTCTAATTCTTCTTTTACCACGTAGAAAAGAACAAGGCAAACACATCTATACATCTCTAATCCAAGTGAACACTAATGATATAAGTAAAGTACATAAAAATATCTATTCTTTCATCATATGGAGTGAACCAATAACGATCATTAAATATTCTTATTATTAAAAGTTTATAGACATAGTATAGAGAATTGTTTATTTTCATATAAGAAAATTTTTAACTATTTTTCACCTTTTTTAATTGTGTTCGTGCTTCTTTAATACATGTAGTTGCTTTGTCTTCGACATCGTTCACTCGTACAGCAATTTTCGTAAGTGCGTCGACATATTTTTGACGTTCTACACAGAAAATGTCATTTTCAATAGTACTATTGATAATATTCAATAAAATTACCCGGGCATTCTTGCATTTCCTGAGCCACATTTGTAAGGGTAACAATTTGTTTTTCAATTATTGGAAGTATCTCAGACCAGAGATTGAGACCTTGATCGATTTCTGTATAATCTAATACATAATTATCGGTTGTCGGCATCGTGGTAAAAGAAGTTGTACTAATCGCTGTTCCCGATGACATCGTATTTTATTTTGCGTGAAGATGAAAAGGAAACACCACTTAGTAGTTATTCACTTCTTGTTGTGACTGAGCAACTAATCATGAATAGAAAAGCAGAGGTCGTTATGAATAAACGCTACTTGTCAAGATGATTTTAAATTGATAGTAGCGTCGTTCATTATAGTCATCATTCTTACTCACGTTTTCTGTTTGATCATGGCTTACAGGGTCTTCTTTCTTTTTCGTCGTTATCGAGAATTATTTAACATCCATCTGTACGGGATTTTATTTTCTATATAGACTATGATGATTTGTTATCAGCTATAAAATATTATGGTTAAAAAGTGGGAGGTTTGTTTTTTATTGTTGTGTTACCTGATTAGATTTAATAAATATTCTATTTCTTGTCAATTAAATAGCTAATTGAAAGCAAAAATCGATTCTATTGTGATGGACGCTGTTTAAGTGGCCATGATATTGGAGTATTTATACTTGCTATTGTTTTAATTTCTATTACATCTGGACTATTCTTCGCTTTCGAGTAAGATTGAACGATAATTATTGTTTTCTGTTTCGATTTTATCATGACGTAGGAGTTGATTATTTTTGTATGTAGGTATAATTACGTAAAATATGTTTTTTGTCTATTTTAGTTGCCCCTATCTAACCATACGACTCAGTCCAGCTATTCCAGTGTTCGCTGCCATACTATTTTTATGTGTAATTTGTTTTATTTTTCGTACTGCCTGCTCTGATCCTGGTATACTTCCACGTGGAACATCAGATGAAATTCTCTATCTTGAGCGATCAAGTGAGAAATTAACATTTTAACTAAATAGACAAGATAGCTAATTTTAAAAAAATACTCTACAGATGTTACAAATAGCCCACATGGTGTTGCATTGCCAGGCCGAACTATTGAAGTTCAAATGCACACTGGGCATGTGCTTCAACTGAAATTTTGCTCAACATGTAAAGTATTTCGACCACCACGCGTATCGCATTGTTCATTGTGTGATGCATGTATTGGTAAGTTTACTATATGAAATCAAGTGATGATAAATCTTGCATCGGAAGAAAATTATTTTTCTAATTGATGTTTTGAGTAGTTTTGGGAGTTGTTGAAGTTAATCATACGACAGCACATAATGATAGACATAGTAATAAATGAAGAAGATTATTTTGATTCATGATTTTCTTATTTATTCCGACATGAAATAAAGTATGTCTCTTGACAATTAATTTTTACCGAATAATTTCTTTTTATCGGCATGTAATTGTGAAAAATTGATTAAAATTCTGAAAGAAATTTTATTAAAATGAATCCATAGACGTTCATATGATTTATTATTTTGATAAGAAAAAGAAATCAAATCGAATCGTGTTGCATTCGATGATAGAAATGACGATTTCTCTTTTGATATGCGTCGATTAATTTTGGCTAAGCAAGCAAAAATAAATCTTTCGGTAGAAAATTGTATTTTTCTTTAATACTTAATTATCCTGAATACTCCTATTCTGCATTTTCTTATTAGGCTAGAGTAGATTTCGGCGTCTACGCGATGAATAATAGTATAATTGATACTTCATCTTTTTCTCAACGAGCTTCCTTGTAGAAATTTTATGTCTAGTCTCAAGATAGTTTCCTTTTCATCGCCTTCAAGAAATGGCATTAGTTCATTTTATTGAAGCTTTGAATTTAAAAAACAAACAACATAATAATAATAATAATATTTTTACTGAATTTTCTCACACAACAACACTAACTTCGATTTTTATTGATTGGAAATTTCGTTTTCTTTTAAACCATGAAAATTGCGTGTTATTTAAATAAGGTTCACATAAACCTGACTTTAGTCGAAGTCTCTGTATGCTAATACTAAATAGCAATTTATTTAATTGAACATGACAAGATAGATGACGGTTGATAAGATTGCAAACACGTTCCCCCATGCTCGTCTTATGGTTGTCTAATGGTTAATAATAATAAAAAATGACGTCTGACTACTAAATGTTGTACTGTGACTTTTCATAGAATTGAAAAATGAATCTTTTGACACGAAGCGTAAGGGCCCTTCAATGAAATAAAACTAATTCGAGAAACCAAAGTGTGTTATTATATATATCGTAGCAGAATATAAATTAGTACTCGAGCTGTTCGGCTCATATTTAATAACAAATTAATTTGAATTTTTAATATTAAAAAAAACACAAGTTTTTCTATAAAACTGTACTTTTGATTGTTTTTTTTAGCAAATTTTGATCATCATTGGTATGGGTTATTTGAGGAAAAAACGATTTTGCTTTTATCTTGATTTTTAGTCCATGGGTTGGAAATTGTGTTGGCTTAAGAAATTATCGATATTTTTATTCATTTCTATTTTCATTATCAATTTTGTGTCTATACATATTATCTTTTAATATAACAAATCTTGTTCTACGTAAGTATCAAAGAATTCAAGTCTTCTTTTCCTTCACAATACAAACTCATATGAACTTGGCGTCAAGGCTTGATTCATTCTTTGTAAAGATTACATACTAAGCCTTGGTTCTCTTTGTGTTCGTTATTGTGTAAATAGAAACTATTTTATAATTAGAAAAAAATAGTCGCGTCGATTTTCATGTTTTATGATCTTTATAAAAAATTCTAGAATAATAATTTAGTTCGTAAGTTTCGGTCAAAAAAATGTTCTCAGTCCACACCAATAAGCATCGTGATATTCTTATTCACGGGAAAACATTAAATACGAATCAATGAATTTTTTTGGGATTTCATTTCAATATTTTAGAACTTCCATAGAACTGTACTGATGAAGAAAAAAATTAATTCATTATTTTTTATTCATAAATAAACTATTTTATCAGATTTCATTGGCCCACACGATTGTTCTCATGTAATCAATACAATATTCCTTAAAATAATAATTAAGATTTCAGCTTGACAGTTTTAAATAAACTTTTTATGTTTCAATGATCTTGTTAGTTGAATTTCTATTGATTCAGAAGAAGATTTCAAAGGATATCTAATTTGAAGTGAATATTTCTTTATTGGGCTTAGTAGAGTTTTGTACTTAGTTAAACTTAACGGACAGTAGTTAGAATAAAATTTGTCGCATGGAAAAACTATTTTTCTCTGATTCCTAAAATTTCCTAAACAAGCATAGAATGTGAATAATAATAATAAAATCTTAATAAGACTCCCGTTAACCGAAGACATTTTCTCAGTTATCGATTTTCAAGAAGACATAGTTAGCAGAAACAAAAGAAGAAGTAATTCATTGTCACATTCATGGCTGTGTGTCTTCCATTATACTTTGACATATTTCACATTATTAGATCAGGCCAAATGCGGCTTTTCAACGCAATATCACTAATGCCTTTTTTAAGGACACAAAAGTTTCGTATAATAAAACTAATGTTTTCTTATTCATTGATGATTACTTGTCTTGCATTTTTAAAATGTCATGATTATGTTTGCTTGTGGTAATGATAGGTCGTATAACGCGTATCGACGAGCCAGAAGAAATAAATTTCCGGATATCTTTATTAAACGAATTAATGCCATTAAGTATAAGACAATCCTTATCAAATTCGTCTACGATATCGAGATCTTTGGAAATACTGATGAATATTTAATGCTTCTTTTTGTAAACAAATAGGCAGTCAAGACAAGCCTTCGTTTATCGATGCTATTCGAGATACGCCGGCAACAATTGTTGAAGCTATAATATGTTTCTTCTCAATTTGGTCGATTGGTGGCCTTTGTGGGTATCATACATATTTAATTTGCCGTAGTATAACAACAAATGAAGATGTAAGTGTTCATCAAGGAGCTTTTGGTTTTTGAATAAGCGTTTTATTATGTTTAAAGATTAAACATACATGGAATTCGTCACGTCATGGAGTGACTGTGAAAAATCCATTTTCAAAAGGAAATGGATGTGTGAATTGTTTTTCAACATTATGTGGACCGTTGCCACCGAGTTTTCTTAATTTAAGAGCGACAGTCAAAGCTGATGATCATATTAATCGAGTCAAAAATGAACCGATGAGTACAACTAATATCGAACCAATAATACAATATCAACCCGAAGACAACCGTCGACAAAATAATAATGTATAATATATTTGTTTTCTATTAGAATCAATTGACATGCTATTTTTCTCTCTTGTTTAGCGAATGCATTCAACAACGATTCATCCATATTCTGATCAAAAGCAAAATCGTCGTACACCGCGTGATTATATTTAAAACGTCAGATTTCCGTCTTTTGTCTTGTTCCCACTTATTTTTTTTTCGTACTCAACTTTCCATTTTGTGAATTCTTGTTCTATTTATTTGCGAAGATTGAAACGAGCTTGGTGTCTTTTTGTGAATCGAAAATAAAACCAAAAATCTATACATTTTACAATGATTTTTCTTACATAGAAGATCACTTGAAAAAAATGATCATGAATGCATTCTTTAGATTTATGATTAATAAGCTGGTCATAAACATGATTGGAATAGAATCAAAAGAAAAACTAAAGAATCTAAATATTTGTGATAGTTTTTATAAAAAATTCATTGTAGTTAGTCGTGCATATTAATTTCTATGCCCATTTTATATGCCGAGTATAGCCATGCGTGGAATATTAAGATACACCGAGATTTAATTAAGATGCCAATAATTTGACCCAGGTACTTTTTAATTAAAGATCATACGAGCATGCTGATGTAAGATGAGAATAATTGACTTTTTGCTAAACGTATGCCCCGAATAGAATATGCATTTTCTTGTTGCTAGACTAACGAACTGTTGTTTAGCTCAACAAAATATATTTGATTCAAAAACAAAAAACAAAAATGTTCTGTTTAACTTTAACATTTGAAGAAATAATTTTAAAAAATTGAAAATAACGAATATGAAAAAAAAACACATTGATTAAATCAATTCTAATTAGACATACTTGTAATTTGAGTATATTTAATCATACTTAAATATCATCCGAAATCACAAAGCCTTTCATAACCGAGTATAAAAAGTCGAGCTGTGCGATTATTCTTTTATTTCACAAACAATTCTGACATCTCAACATGCAAACCATCGCTGTCTTTACAGTTACTGCCGTCGTGTTTCTCTTTATATCGAATGGAAACATCTATGGTTATCCATCAGCATCACACTATCAAGCAATTGCTGATCATGGACACGATTTCGAAGTCTCGAAATCACAGCCATTTTCCAACAATGATGATTATCATGTAACATCGAATCTTCACGAGCAAAATCGACGATTGTTGCCATTTATTTATTATCCTCATAAACGTTTAATTGACTTTTAAAAACAGATTTGTTGTTTGTATTAAGCAAATCTATGAATATTAATTCAATAAAAGAACAAGAGCATCTTCGTCTGTAACAACCTATTTATGATATTTTAAAGAAAACAGAAAGCTCTGTCATAACAAACATGCTTTAATCCTCTTATATAGGATTGCAATAGAATGATAGACATATCTGAAACACTAACATATTGTCTTAGTTCTGCATTCTATTTTAATATTAAGTCAACAGGAAATTGCATTCCAGTCTCTTTTTTCTTTCTTTCTTTCTTTCTTTCTTTCATACTCAATATTGGTTATTTATTCCCAAGCTATTGATAAATGAAATGTGTAAATTCACAGAATACTTACTAATTAAGAAAATTATGTATGTAAGACATAAAGTGCCATTTTTTTTAGTTGATAGCTACAAGTTTATCAAATATCAACATGCAAAACAAAGCGTAAAAATATACTTGTATGATTTATTCTCGAGAAATGTGCTTGTTATTTCAGTACACACGCATTTTATTTTGATAAGATATGAATCTTTTTAGCTGGAATGGTTTTGTATTTTTTGTGCCTATCAGCCTGCTAATTACCGTCGTTTTGCAGTGATGATCTTATCCTTCCTCTTCTTCTTCTTCTTCTTCTTCTTCTTCTTCTTCTTATCATCGGCAACATATGCTCTCCTATTCAGTTTAGTTTAAAACAATATTGCCGTCGCCTATCTCTACATTCAACATTAAATCATTAATAAAATACGATGTCATTTATTGTTTCTGTTCCGTACTCTGTTTTTGACTTTTCTTCTTTATATTAGAGGAAATGCACATTCTTGAACGTAACGATTATATTTAGTAATTAATTTCATATATATTTTTATTATTATTTACAAACGATTAGTCATGTTAGAATAGAGAAAATATGCAATCGTCAACGGCAAATATCAATCGTGGACGTAAATCTGGTGAAATAAGTGTCTTTATTTTTGGACAGAATGATGACGACAATGATGATGATGACGATTATGATTCAAAAAGTGTCAAAGAATTTCCTAAATATAACTATGATTTAACTGAAAATACCTTCAATATTGACTGTGACAACGTCGATGACAACCAAATTATCCTCTCAGGTAGAAATTGTGCGCTTCGTGTCTGTAAATGTGTGCTTCACTATGCATACATTTCTGTTTTTATTTCTCCCCTACAGCGGTTCTTCTTCTGAGCTTGTTCTTATATCGATACATTATGTTCCCTCCTTCTGTCATATAAATGTTTGACATTTGGCACTCAGTTCAGAAACGCATAATGAAACTCTCTTGCTAGCATTCTATTATTCTGCTTACACAAGCACGGAGTATAAGTCTTTGATGGATTTAAATAGAAAAAGTCGAGACACGACAGAAACATCTATAATTTTAGCTTTGACCACGATTGAAGAAGACACTAGTGAGAGTGATAATAATCTTGTTGGACATCAGAACATTACTAATAGTCGACATCAACAGATGGATAAGAACTTGTTTTCACCAAGTACGAAAAAAAATGGTAAGAAAAGGATACTCGTTTTTTTTGTCTCTTCCCATGAGATTTACTCCAGTAGATTGAGTATTCGACTTAACTAAACCTCTTAGAAAGATGTATATTTGAAATAAGTAATCTGGCATGCGCAGATTTTCCTTTTTTTTCTCATAAACTATATTGTCTACAAATGCGGATACTTGTCATTGTCACTTACAAAACAACAAAAAGAGAAATACTTTTCTTTTATACATTAGTACAAAGTCGAATATAGTAAGCACTATATCAAATGGTAGACAGGCCTGACAAACATCAGACAAGTAGAAATGATCGTCAAGTTCTTCACCTACATGACGAACGATGGATCATCATTAGTAGAGAGCGAGAGACATAGATAGATACGACGAACACCATTTGTAGAAATTCTTATTCTTATAAACAAAAAAAGGGAAAAGAAAGAACAGTAATAGAAGATAGAAAGAACGCACAACTACGAATATATCATCAATCTATGAGAAAGATCTATGCAGATTGATTAAACTACCAAAAGACACTTGGGAAATAGTTCGGCGATGGAATGGATACTACCCGCTCGTACATGTACTGGTATTTAAATAACTACAATCATATTATTATGTTTTTATGTTCGTTATTAATAACTAATGAGTTGTTGGAGAGCTAGTATGTTGTTCTACGCTAGATTGATTATTTGATTTTGTTTATTCCTTGATTTTGTTTTGTGCTCCTTTCGATGATCAATTTAATTTGTTGAATTTTAGAGCGCCCATTTCATTTTCAACATAAAACACATGTTGAATCTGCCAAAGAACAAATACTAGATGATGCGTCACAACCAGCCAGTTCAATATCAACCAATAGACAAGAAAATTCCTATGAGTATGTAAAAATCAATTCGTCTATTTTGATTCTTTTTTCTTATCACAGAAAACATGTTGTATATAAGTTATTAACCTGGGCTGCGATTCGACCTATATTTTCTATATTTTCAAAAAAAAGTCCTATTTTTGTTCTATATTTTCCTAAAAATTCTTATTTTTCCTATATTTTATCGAAAAAAATAGAAAATTTCCGAAAGTCTCTTCGTTTTGCTATTTATTATCTTCAGACGAAAAAAAACAAACTTTTAATGCGTATAATCATGTATTTTGGACACATTCTTGTATTATAGTGACATTTGTTTTAAACAGTATTTTTCCTTTCGCCTATTTAATGGGCTGACTGAGACATTGTTTAATACAAAGTACAAAATACAAATTAGTTCAAAAGAAAAAAACATTCACGAAGTGATCATGGACTAGTTTCGGGTTTTTAGTGAAATTTTAGTTAGATATAAAAGCTGTATATATATATATATATACCCCTGGAAATAAGTTCCACTCTGTATTTTGAGGATATTTTTACCAAAAGAACATATTTTTTTAAAATTAACGACATATTCTGAAAGCCCGTGAAATTTTACACCATCCTGTGGATATGCATTTTCAATTACACTTATTTATTACCAGAAAAAATTGAGTGATGATAAAATACAAAATAAACTTGTGGAAAATAATAAGCGATGAATGCTGATTATCAGGAGAATAAACTTAGGTTGAGATTTTTTGAGAAGTCATGTCCGTAATTTGAAACGTCTCCTTTAATTATGAGAAATAGTATTTGTTTTTTCAAAGTTTATGATCTACTTTATTGTTATTTATTAATTTGTGAAAGTTTTATAATTAAACTTTATAATAATCCTCGAATTGGCAACTTATTTCAGTAGAAAGAAGTTACACAAGAATCTTGGAGATGATTGAGCAGTTCATAGCAGCTGCATCAGAACGATTTTCGAGTAGAGAAGTTAAAAAACACTACAACAATTGAACAGAAACGCCGTATAAAAACATCCTATATTTTGGTCATTTTTTATCGAAAGTTCTATATGTATGACAAGCTAGATCCTCTTAGGATTCCTATATTTTTAAAAAGTAACAATCGGAGACCAGATATAAGATAAAAAACTAAATTATATTTTCTGATATTAAAAAATTTAGCAATAAGAGTTGTGAAAGTACGCTATTATCATTGTCAATAGACATCCAAGTGGCAACGGTTGTCGTTCCATTCCATTCTTTTCAAACATACAAATGACTCCTTTATAAGTTTTAATTATTTCTTTTTCGCTCGCTCTCCATTGGTAAGCATCTATTTTTTATTAAATCATAAGGTATCTATCATTTTAAATGATATAAAAATTGGCATGAATATTTTCCGATAAAATGTTACACATTTACTTTGTTCGTTTTTGTTTTCTGTAATAAAGAAACAATCCTATGATAAAAGAGTAAGTCTATAATCATCATACTTGTCTAGGCATACGTCGCAGTGCTTGCCAGGATTCCCGCGAAAAACTTATGTGCAAAGGACGTCCCGCTCGGGATTTACCAGGACACTGCTATGTATGTGTCTAGTGCAATGAAATGATTTCATAGCATTTAGATTTATTGTTCTTCGTTCAATGCTGTGTCTCTCGTTCATCATCAAACCTATTATTTCTTTTTCATAATCTTAAAAGAAACAAAACGATTATGCTCAGAGGAAAAATCCAAAACTTCTTACGATGAATAACAAGTCAAACCGAACATTTTCTTTTTAGTTCGGCCTGGGACCATATAAATTTATTTTTATTCTATTTGCTTATTGTAGATATAGTCTAATCAATCATGATCAGTTTTCAAGTTCGTCCACCCACTCGATATGTGTCAGAAATGTCTTATTGGCAAGAATCGAATATACGAGAAAAACTCGTGCTTTTTAATACTAATCTCTTTTTTCTGCTTGTAATTCTTAGTTTGATTCTCTAGTTGACACAATGACTCGTTTTCTTTTTTTCTCTAGTCCGAACAACTGAATTGATCGACGTAATAAATTTTGTTCTAATTTACATGTTAAATCATGACAGGCCACAGACACACGCAAATGGAGACATAGCTTGACGAAGAAAACGATAAAAACAGACGTCGTTTTCTCCCTATCATCATCAATATGTTTATAGTTTTATAGTTGACTAACATCATTATTTCATATTACACTGTTCAATAGATTGAAAGAAAAGAAAAAGTTTTCAGTCTACTGATTCTGAATAGTTCTATTCTTTTACAAGAGCGAAATTCAAGGGATTGATATGAAAAGAAAAACAAGCTCGAATATACTTATTTATTTGAATAAATACGATTAATATCTGATAATGATAAGTCTGTCTAATTGTAGACGCTTATTACCTATGTTGATTCGGTACGTTTTTTTATTCTACGTATCTATCCATATTTTGTTTTAACAAACGGCAAAGACGTGTCACTCCCGATTTCCGATTCATCCGCGCGCCCTGTTGGTTTTATAACGGATATGATCAAATTAGACGACAAAAAATAGGAGAAGAGAAGAAGAATGGAAGACACTTCCTTACAAACTGCTTTCTCCGTATGCACAAGCGCATACTGACACACTAAAACTAAAAGATATTTTCTTGTCATCGACGTCATTTTGATTATTGATTGCAGTAATTACAAGACTGTTGGACATCGTAATACAACTTCAGTTCCTCTTATTGTTGTCACACATGACGAAACTGATAGAACGACATCGAAACGTCTTGTACAACATTCAGCAGCTAAAATTGACAAAGCAAAAAAAAAGCAACCAGCGATTTCATCTATTAACATGGATAACATAAGTTTGAAAAGTATAGTAAAACAATTTAACATTCAATAGGAAATCCTATTTTTTATTGTTTTCATAAAAGATTATTTCAGTTCATCCTCTGGTCTTGAACCTCCGACACCACCCGAAAAAAATCCATCGACACGAAACATTCAAATTAGTTTATCATCACCCGGTATTCCTGCAACTCCAACTTCATTACTACATGCTGGTGGAAAACGGCGTGGAGTTATTCATCGATCAAGTTATAAACGTGCACACAAAGGACGATCGGTATGCACCACTTATCTTTTTGTTACTAAATAATAAGCTTTTATCGGACGTACTTGATTCGTTTTTCTTAAGTCGATCGATCACACGCCCAATGACTTATTTATTGAATTACAAGAATTAAGATTAGATGAAGATAATGATTGTTATTGGCATGAATGCGCAAGGTAAAATAGTAACAAAAATTAAATTTAGACAAAAATACAAATCATATTTCTCAATAGATGGATTCGATATGAAGAATATTTTGATGTTGAAATGCAACGATGGCAAGGTTTGAAATTCTATCTGCATTGAACGCTTCCCTGTCTACTGATCTTTTCTTTTTAGCACCAAGAATTAGTTGTTTAAATTTTCATAGTCTACTTGAACTGCGACGTGGTTTACAATATGGTTTGTAGAATTAAAATCTTACGTAAAAAATAAATTCATGTTTGTTAAGGTATTGTTTTACTCGATCTTGAGGAACAAACTCTAGAAGGAATTTATGATGGTGTGATCAATGATGCAATTGCTATGGGACAAATGAATAAAGATCTTAAAGATGAATTGCTCCGTATTTTAACTAGCGATCATAGGTAGGTATTGGTTAAATACTTTTTGTTGTTATTGATTTAGAATTCGTTTATTCTTAGACATCCTGACCCTCGTTCTTCATTTCGACGTCGTTCATCTATTTTTGATTTCCCTCAAACTGGCATAAGACGATCAAGTTTGGCGTTTAAAAAAAGTGATCAAATTAATTTTGATGATACAAGACGAAGTAGCCTATTAGAATTAAAAATGAATGGCGAATTCAATAGAAATATGAAAAATATTGTTGTTAAAGTATCGTATTAAAAAGAAACGATCTTGGTTTTTCCTTCTAATATCTTTCTTTTAGTATGATAATATTGATGAAACTGTTGCTACAGATGTATGTGCAAAACGATCGGAAGCTGAACAAAATAATAATGTTAATGGAAGCAAAGAAAGTGTTAATCAAATACGTTCATCATTGGGCACTCATCGGCTGTCACAAACACAAACAAAGAAATCCCGCGACTCAATTCCATATAAAGTAATCAATAAAGATATGAAATAATCAGTTAAAGAGCTCTTTTTTCCTTATGAGGATTCGTGCTTTTTTCGTGAAAGAAAATTTCTTCACCCTAATAAATAAGGTTTTAGTTCGCCAAATAATTCTTATACGAGATTAAATGTAATTAGTTTTATTTTGCAATTGATCAGAGAATAAAAATTAATCGTACATAAGATTTTTGTAGGCCAAGTTTCTCCGCAGATCTTTTATAGATTTAATATAGAATAGTAAAACAAATAGAATAGGCGACTCGCAGAGAAAAAGAACCAGAAAGATGGATATCCGTGTTGAAGATAAAAATAGAGATGTCAAGTTTTATTTTGTCAATCACAACTCAAGGGATCAAAAACATCAACTTCGAACTGACAATTGTTGAAAAATATCAGAACACTGGAAATCGTTGGTAGAGTATTGAAAGTGTACTGACTTGCTGATAGCGTCCGACGGTGCTGAAATGATGTTTAGGTGCTAAGAGTTTAGAAAGTATTGCAAAGACATGTTTAGAATGATCGGTGTTTCGAATAGTAAAACAGATTTATAAATGAATTTTCTGTAGAACTCGCATATATGTCAAAAGAAAACAGAGAATAAGTTCGAAGTCGATATTCTTTTTAGGACGGTCTCACCATCATTAGAGATCATTGCAGCTATGTTTTCATACAATAATCGGCGTAGATAAATCATTTTAATGCTGCTGTCAATATTTATTATGTCGGAAAAAAGAAAAGATTTACATCACAAATCGTCTTAGTTGAAATTTTAAGAAGTAAGAAAAAAGGGAATCATCTGGCGTCAAAGTAATTATCTATGTGTGATACTGATTAAGTAGTAGGTTTTCATACGGCTGCTTTGTTTTCTTATCATAAATAAGAATTCAGCATCTATCTGTGACTGTTTCAATTCATGAAATCTATCATTATGGCAATCTGTTGCTTCATGTATTTTGACTATTAACGTATGATATTTGTTCGACATATGTTATAAACAATGTTACTGTTCTGTTTGATGTAAAAGACAAGTTAACCTTCGGTTTCATAACGAAAAAGATAATCAAAAGTAATGTTATCATTTTTTTGACTAATATATAGAAAAAAAGCTACAAGAAAAAATTAAAGTAATGAAATTAATACGTAAACATTTGTCTTGGAAACGAGCTGTGCTTTTATTTAGTCAAAATTTACTGCCGATGAAGTATCTTGTGAGTAAGATAAAGGATAGTGTGAGCATAGGGGAAGCCAGATGCTCTATTAGAGTCGTAGTCATATTTATTTATTAATGATTAGAATCGTTGTTCAGTCGGATATTTCCTAGGTTTTAAATAAATTCGATTTAATTTTAAGTTTACACTTCGTATTTTATTAAACGAGAAAAGTTGATAATTTATTTATCACTTTTATTCAATCTTTTCTATTCGTTCTAATGATATAAAACACATTTTTTTGTATGCACACTAATTATACGCGATATTATTCTCAATATTAGTAAAAACATATTCTGAAATCGTACCCAATCTCTAATACTGATGAGTTTCTCTTTGCACGAGCTTAGCGTTTGAAATTTCAACCACGTCGGAAAGAGATGAAGAAGCTTCTACTTTTCCCCCACAAAGAATCTGACATACGTTGGAAGTACTCGAGGAGGTTCGACTGAATATGCGTCATTTGTTTTCCAGCACTTTTTATGATAAATAGTTTTGGAAGAAAAAAAGGCAACAGTTACGCTTTCGATATCAGTTACTGATATCGGAAATAATCATAATTTATAATCAGCCAAGGTTATATCAACGTAGCTTTAAACGATTTTATACAGAAAACTAGAGAAAATTGCAGAATTCATCTGTACGATCACATAACACAGTGTTGTTCACAGAGAAATATGACGATATCCGGATGGAAAAGAACGATCGTACACGAAGACAAACGAAACTTGAAAGATTGAAAGATTATATATATACTCTGTAGTTGGCGGGTTGGAAGACAAAATTTTCATATTTAGTCATAGCAAGAATATCGATGTGAAGAGCAATTAGTTGCACTGACGTCATAGGTCACTTTAAGTCTATAGACAGCGCTATCCTTTTACGAATGGAGATGCCTTGAAGCTATATTTAGTGTTTATCACGAAAAAGAATGAGCTAGATCTAACTTGTCAATTATGAAGAAATCGTATCATTTTATATGGTTAAGCCAGGTAGAGCATCGTGTTTAGAAAACGTTGAGTATTCATTTTTATGATTTTATTAGATAAAAGGTGATCGATTTCACCTTCTTCACAAATGATCTTTTAAATTTCGACGTGAATAAAACTTTCATGATGACTGTTTCTATGATATAATGAAATTCAATTCATAAAAGAAAATATTTTCATCAATAAATCGAAATCAAAAATACAAAAAACTAACGAGGGAACGTCCCCAAGTGATTCGTACCATTTCGATTCATCTTTTGCTGGTTTGTAGAGCTCATCCTATATATAACATATGTAAAAGGGTTGGTGTCATTGCTACTCGGCTTCAAAGTTATGAGCGAAACAACCGCTTTGATAGATGGCGCTACTATCTTTTCATTAGTGTTTCGTTCTTTCGACCAGGTAGCTCAATCATACTTCTCGAAACTTTTTTCGTTCGAGCAAGTTGAGGAATGTTCGTATTATAAACATCTACGAGGAAAATCATCCCCTAGTTGAGATATGAAAAGAAGAAAAATATAGCACATAGAAGGTGGCACCATCTATTGTAACACATTTTCCGCTTATAACTTTGAAACCGGCCCGCAATGGTGCGAATCACTTGAGAATGTTTCCTCGTAAGACGAAATGATCGATATCAAGGCTTGAAGTTACTACATACTGGCGTTCATTGCTACGCTAGAATCCGTGATCCTATGAGCTCTGGATGTGTGACTCACTGTTTATTCCAGGAACATTCATTCCTGGATCTGAGAGAACCCATATGAAGTTTTAATTTCGATTTGACGATGACTTAACTAATGCCCTACTTTATGATTAGCTACAAATAAAAACGATTTTGTTTACCCTATTTAGAATATTATTGAATAGCTGCATCTAGTAATACCCAAATATTCATTAACTTAATATTTTAGACATTATCTTCTCTATAATGAGCTTCTCGACATTCTATTTATCATTATTATACATTAATAGTAAAACCAATGCATCTACTCCTCATCAGTATAATCTTTAAAAGTGTCTATAAAAAAAATATATATATATATATATATTCATGTTTATAAATAAATATTTTCTAATATATGAGAGTATATATTAAATTTCACATGCGTTGACCCATTCATCTTTCAGGTCATCATAATATTCAGCATAGCTCAAACATATAATGAACTATACGACCATTTTAGAAAGACAACAACTGAAAAATACATGATAATTTCCGCATTTATTCTTTTTTTAGATGTTTACCAATTATATTAAGTGTCATTACTACTAAATAAATACTCTTTCATCTAGAAAGAATAAACTCATTAACTAAGCATGACTTGTCAATATCTATTTCCTTTTGCATAGATCTAAAAATAGTGATTCATGAATATTTCCATAAAAATAATATAGCTTAGCATTCCAACCAGAGAAATTTATTTCGATGTTGGGTCAATCTGATTTCACGATAACATTGAATTTTTCTTTTAGTCTGATGTAATGAGACGAATTTCGAATAATGCTGAATGTGCTGAAGTTCTTATTGGCACTATGCGTAGTTTACCAAGGCTCATTATGGCCTTTGTTCGTCTTTCACAAGGCCAACTGATAGGTAAGATCATCTAGATCTTAACATTCATTGTTACTTTTTCTTCTTCTTTGTTTTCTTTTCATTCAAGATAATATGAGTGAAGTTCAATTGCCAGTTAAATTCATCTTTCTACTGATCGGTCCAGGAGTGGAAGAATATTTTGAAATTGGTCGTGCTCTTAGTACTCTTTTCAGTACGCAGGTAAGTACAGAACTTATTTTCTTAGTAATTTAATTATGATTTTTTCTTTAGGACTTTCGTAATGTTGCTTATCAAGCCATGGATCGTCGGGATTTATTGAATGGTATAAATGATTTTTTGTCAGATTCGATTGTGTTACCGCCAGCTGATTACGATAAAGAACTTCTACTACCAATAATTGAAACAGCGAAAATTAAAAAAACGAATTCAGACAAACGTATAACAGCATTTAAAAAGCAAAATAGTGATCCATCGAATGAAAATCAACAGCAACACGTTCAATGTAAAGTTGACATTTCAAGAAAAGTGAAATTTCTCATTGAATTAATTCATTTTTTTTTGTTTTTAGCGACGAGAGTTTTATTAGGTAATTATAATACTATTATGATTGATTTCTAAACGAATAGATTCTTTAGCTAAAATATCTTCGTTATCAAATGATAAACAAGATGAAGATCCATTTTTACGAAGAGGCTTTGTATTTGGTGGTGTTTATCATGAAATGCGTCGTCGTTATGCGCATTTTAAATCGGATTTTTTGGACGCATGCTCTCTTCGTTGTTCTATTAGTCTTATATTTATGTCTATTGCTTGTCTTGCACCGGCACTTACCTTCGGTGGTATTATAGGTAACGGGAATATTATGAGAGAAAAATCAATTGACTGCATATTTTTGTTTTTATTAGCTGACAAAACTTGTAATCGATTAGGTGTAAATGAAATGTTAATTGCTTCGTCGATTAATGGCTTCCTGTTTGGACTTTTCAGTGGACAACCGTTGCTGATTCTTGGGCCAACAGGACCGTTTCTTGTTTTTGAAGAAGTAGTTTATGATGTAAGCGTTATTTCAGCATTACGGACAAAAATTAGTGATCGAATACTCCGTTGCATAAGTCAAACATCATAAAGATCGTTTCCAACTGTGAATAGATTTCCAAAATATGTACCATGGCTTGCTTTTCATCCTTAACGCACTCCTATGGATACCTAATAGAAATCGATTTCACTACAGAAAACATTCACAGTCGTAACATCATTGGTACTAGTGGATATATGAGAGATTTCAGTTTATTGTCTGTCCTCAATTTTATATTGAGAATCCAGCCTTAACTTTTGGTTTCTTCTGAAAGTTTAATTTTTTCTTCGAATAATTACAAGCGATTTTGGATTCTGTCATTTATTCTATAAAATTAGTATCTTCTTTTTTTAGTTATGTCAGTCGTTGGATGCAGATTTTTGGACAGTACGATGTTGTGTTAGTCTTTGGACAACTTTTTTTATTATTATGTTAGTGGCTTTTGAAGGTAGCTTTATGATTCGCCATGTGACTCGTTTTACCGAAGAGATCTTTGCACTTATCATTGCTCTTGTTTACCTTTATGAGCCATTTAAAAAACTTTATAAGGTAAAACAAGAACAAAAAAATTTCTTATTATTTTATTGATTTAATTTCCTTGTTTAGATATTTCTTTCAAATCCAGTACGATCAAAATATAGTTATGATTTTCCATTCACTTGCTCCTGTAATATATCTTCAATATTGAATAAAACATTTGCTTTTGATGATATGAATTCATCATTCGATAGTACGTTATCTAGTTCTACATCGAAATATTCATGTTATGACTGTAAATCAAAACAAGATTCGTTCTCTTCTTCCACGCTATCGTATCGCAATTCAACATTAGCATCAAATGATGAAGATCAATTACCAAACAAAGCACTTCTTTCGTTTATTATACTTATCGGAACGTGCTTCATAGCTGTCGCACTGAAACTATTTAGGCGCAGTAAATTTTTTGGTCGAACAGTAAGTTTTAGCAAGAAAATTTTGTATTTACTTGACATCGGATGCACTGACCGTAAGTTATCGTGACTTATTAACCAAGTATTTGCTATAGAATAATAACCAATCATGAGTGTCGATAGCTAATAAAAATTCTATTTAGAGAAGATTTTATCTTGAGTACTTGGAAATATAATTTGCCTACGGCACGTAAGTAGCTGCCGAGGTGTGATGAAATCTTATGGTAATGAATAGGAGATGAGCCTTCTCCATCGATCGTAGCTACATCAGTTCAATTCTATCGCAAGCTCATCTATGAGAAAGAACACAGGCAGCTGTCGATGAATTTGCATTAATGTTACTAATCTTTTTGAAATAGTTCCTAACGACTTTCATTCAATTTAGACAAGACAAACGTTGAGTGATTTTGGCATGACGATTGCGCTCATTTGTATGGTGCTATTTGATATGTTAGTTACGAAGACAGCTGGTGGTCATGATCTTACACAAGTAATAAAAAAACAACTACCAACATATTTTGAAAACATCAGGCGAAAATCATTAGAAACGAAGTATCTTTGGTATTTTACCTTGACAATTACAACTAGAATAAAGCAAACACACTATTTTAATAGCTAAACAAAATTTATATTAGGAGTTCGTATGAAATTCTCGTTTACAGGTTTGCATGAACAATCTCTCGAACACGATAAAATATTCCCAAGCTTTTCATGACTGAACTTCGATATTTTGAATGGAATGTTCAAAACTTTATTTTCTAGAAATATACTGTTATTTCATCATTACTTTTCCTGATAGAAAAGATACTTCGTTTCTAAGCTGCCAGCCGAATCCTTTTGGTCTATTGATGATAATATCTCGTTGATGTATCTAGAAAATAAATGTGCCAGATTCGATTAGACCCAGTGATGTCGAACGTGATAATACTTGGTTTATATCACCACTCAGAAAACCACTGCCATTATGGGCTTATTTTGCATCATCATTTCCTGCAATTTTAATATCTGTAGTACTCTTTTTCGAAGTAGAACTAACTAGGTAACGCCAAAAACAAAGAGAAAATCGAACAACAAAAAAAATCGACTGTTCTTTTTCTTTCATAGTATTATGATTCAGTCAAAACTTAAATGTGTTCATCCAACTAAAATGATCAAAGGAACTGGTTATCACTTAGATATATTAATAGCTGGTATAGCTGTTATTTCCAAAATTAGTTTACTTTTATTTATTCTTCATTTTTTCAGGTATTTTAATATCAATCAGTGGACTCTTCGGTCTTCCTTGGATATGTGCAGCACCTGTACGAAGTCTTGCTCACGTCGCTAGTCTATCCAAGTACAGTAATACTCATGCGCCAGGAGAAAAAGCTCGTTTAATCGATATAAACGATCAACGTTTAACAAATATTGGTGTACATCTATTTATTGGTTGTACAATTTTTGCAGCACCAATTATTCGTAAAATTCCAGTGGCTGCTTTATTTGGTATATTTTTATATTTTGGTATTGTGTCCATATCCGGCACACAATTATTTAGTCGAATTAAAATGACATTTATTCCAACAAAATATCATCCAAATTTCGGTTATTTACGACGAGTAAATATTTACAATTATGATTTTAATATAATCTATTTCTTTTCTAAGGTTCGTCAAATGAAACGCAATTTCTACACATTCATACAAGTGACTGCGGCCGGTTTATTAATTACAATTAAATTGACAAGTTTTGCGTTTCTCTTCCCGCTAATACTCGTCTTACTTGTACCATTTCGAAAAATGTGTCTTCCATTCATTTTCACAGAACGTGAATTTGCTGAAGTAAAAATTTCATTGAAAATTATTTCTCTAAAAAACTTCTGTTATTATCGTTTTCTTTTAGCTTGATGGCGATGAAACACCGGATGGCACTTTTGATGATGAAATTGATTTCTATGGTCAAGTTCATTTACCAATTTGATGGCCCAACTAAAATTTTATATTGGCTATTTTGTTTTCTCCGGTGGTTTACTGTTGAATGAATTATTTTCAAGAACAAAATCAATACAAAAACATTACAGCAAAGAACAGATGAGTGTATTTTCATGTAGAAAAAAAAGTTTTATCAACGTCTCTTTTATTCTCACTGTTCTTTTTGTATATTTGTTGAACTATGTTTTGTTTTTCTAATTAATATTATGGATGAAACTGCTACTGAAATTTTTTTTCGTGGAATTCAGCTTTGTTAACATTCCAATACAGAAGTTCGGCAATAATATTTGGTCGATCCGCAGCAAACATTTCCCATGGTTCCTTCATGGCCATTACTTCCTTTGCATTATCAATAAAAAATTCAATACATTTTTGTCGAACAAATGCATTATCGTAATCATACGCAGATTTCAATAAAGTCAAGACGTTGCTTAATTCAATATACTCTGCTATAACTAAATAAAGAAATAAAAAGAAATAATACGATCGTAATAAATAAAATTTCTTTGAGAAAACAATAAACCTACATGAACCGCTATATACTTTTAGGCTTTTTATATCATATCGACCAGCAGCATTGAGAAGCTCAAGTGCTAGAAACGAAAAGAAGGATCACGTTGAAAAATAATCCCATTAGAATACAAAAAACGATCGTACCGTTATGTTTATTTATATCACATTTTGCCGTATACATGAATAAAACGACTTGTCTCATTGTGTCCTTGTCCGTCTTGTTGATCGTGATAATCAGTTGACCGTTTTGTTCATTTATTTCAAGTTGTTTTCTTTGGTCACCATTAAGCCGATTCATATTGTTAGAAATAACATCTATTAGAAGAAGAAAAAATTTCATTTTTAATACCCTTATAATATTGATTCAGTGTTTCATTATCATTTACTGGCAAATACATTGGAACGAGCACCGAGAATACATCGATGAACCGACATATAAATATCTATTAAAAAAGAAATTTAATTTGTTAGCTATCGATATCATAATAGAGTCCTATGAAAAAATGGCTTACCCTGAACTTTTAGGCAGCAATCGCTAATATCTCGTCGATGGAGTAGCTGGGCAAGGTCATTTGATAAATGCTCCAGGAAAATCATATCAGGATGGGAATCATCTTTTCTAGAATATCCAGAAGTAGCATATTCTTGAGGATCTTGCCAATTTGATTTGGTATGATTTCCATATACAAATCTTTCGGACAGTTTGGCAGCACCTTCTAGTTCTGCTGTAGATAAAACTTGTCTTTTGCCTTGTGTTGAATTCGAGTTATCATTCCCATTATCCAAATTTGGTGATGATGAAAGCATGTTTCTAAGTTGTGTTATCGAACTAAAGACGAAAAAGGCAAAATATATAGTTTTCATAAAGTAACAATCTTTACTCCCATCATTATGGTTACTATCAGTAGGACAACAGCAAACGTAGTGAAGGCCACATGAAAAAACCGGTACTCGGTAGATAGTATGCATTTTTTCTTCTTTAGACTACCAATAGATAACAGATCTTCAAGAATAAATAAGATGCTTTAAATATCACCATGAATCAAATTTTCACAAGGGTAGATACGAAACTCTGAATGATATATTTTTCATTTATTGAAAAATTGTCCAAGATGACGTTTTCGGCTCATTAGATACTGTGAGTAGTCAGCAAAAATTTCCAAATATGAATTTTATAGAGTAGAACTTAATATATATTTCTGACATCTTTTTGATCAAAACCAGGGTAAAGAGTGATATCATAATCTAAATCGAATGGGTAGAATAACAACGAACGGAAAACAATGGCCTATTGTTTAATACTATTTTTACATAATCTGACGAGTTCAGACACTTTTGATTATTTGTCTAGTAAATGTGCATGTAAATGTAATAAAAAAATGTCTTCGAAATCATCTCGACATGAACATGTTGTTAGTACAAACGAGCGAGTTTTGGAAGAGAGAAGGCAAAATTTAAGTGGTGATGTTGTAAATGACATTTTATTTTTAAGAAAATTTCGAAATATTCATTAATTTTGTATTTGATTCTCGTTGAAAATTAATAAAATATATTGAAACAATAATTGAAGAAAAATCTACTAGATGACTAATTGATACATATGATGCTCTATTTTTATGTATTTATTTATTCTCAAAATCGAACATGTTAGACATTCAATTAAATATCAAGATCAGTATTGTTCTTGAAAATGGTCTTTTAAAGAATGAAACGTTGAACGTTAAATTAAAATTTCATCTTGATCATCATATGTATA